CATCATTCAGAATTGGACAAGTATCAGGAGGACCCCCGCGAGGAGCTTGGTCCACGACAAACTGGGTACCGATCATCGTCAAGTCAAGTGTAATCCTAGGCGCACTTCCGGAAGCTAAAGGAGTGAGTTCATCACTATCAAGGGTATCTATTCATGACATGCGCGTTTCAGTTTGTGTCTTGGATCCCTCCCCACGCCATATCAAATTCTATTCTTGATGTAGCTTTCGCGAAAGAAGAACCTCCCATCGTGATGAATCTGGTTCATCCGAGACCGACCGCATGGAACATGTTGATACAGCCCATGGCGGACGCCCTGGTTGAGCATAAAGTAACAAGTTACCCGCTACCTCTTGTGCCATTCTCGGAGTGGCTCAATAAGCTCGAATTGAGCGCCAAGAACTTGAGCGAAGAGACCATGAAGCGTATCGTACGTGTATCTCGATAGTTGATCGGAATGTTTTCCATTCAGTTTTCAATTACAGCCTGCTATCAAGCTTCTCAACTTCATGCGTTCCATGGCTCAATCAGACATCGCGATCAGGGCGTCTGGAGAGATGGGCACTGAAGCAGGTGGCATGACTTTATTCGCCACCTCCGTAGCTGAACGCGCCAGTCCAACGATGAAGGAGTTGAAGGAACTGTCTTCGGCAGACGCGGCACAGTGGGTGGATTATTGGATGGCAATGGGGATGTTTGATTGAATGTGTGAGTGAGCGGCAGTTATTTATCCTCTCCTTGTTTTTAATAACATGAACGATCAGAACTCAGTTGTTTTGAATTTGTTTTTCAAGAAATGCCGCAACTTCCGAATTCGGACTTACTAGATTTCCGCCTGTTTGCCCAACCCCGGTATTTTCCTTGTATGTTGTACAATAATATTTATAGGCCTCTCCCAAATATCTATTACCCCGATGCTCATTGCTGTAACTATCATGATCAGTTAATCTTGCTAGTAGTTCAGCAATTATATATATGACGAACTTCCTGCAAGCCCTTCAGTTGACATGCGATCCACCTCCCTTTCGTTTCTTCATTCCATTGCTATTCACGAAAGTATATCGTCCTTACCAGCAGTGAATCTGGTTCGTTATTGGTGCGTCGCTGGGTCTTTCATTTCAACAGGTTTTTGAAGGTTTGCGCGTCTTGAGTCTGCAGTGTGCTTCATTCCAAATTTCCCAGAATACAGATCTAGTCAACAAACGCACAGATCATGTATCCAATTATCGATTTCGTAAAGGACAGAGAGAGCGCCGCTTATAGGTTTATACCTCGGATAATCGATATACGGAGGACCTGCCAGTGCACCGTACGTTGCAGACGTGGTGTATCGTATACCTTGATGAGGCGTCTAGGCTACCACATGCATATAATACATATGCTAGTATTTTCACTTCACCAACAATGCCCATCCGTAATTCTCAAGAGGCCCGGGGTAAATAGAAAAAAGTACATCTATCAGATCAGTGACTCACAACTGCAAGAATGATGCGAAAGCCCATGGATTAAAATCCGTACGGCGAGAGGCGCCTAATGCACTTCGGCTGAGGCTTCCTCCATTCCTCCATCGGCGTCTGCACGACTTCATCAGAAAGATAATCTACTTCTGCTGGTGCATCTGTAGTGTTCCGCGGGTCCCGCGGAGGTTTACGTGGATGCCTTGGCCCGGGGGCACTGCCGGGCCAAGTAGGAAGATAACATATTTCCTGCAAGTACATCATGCTCAGTCTGCTGGCCTAGGGGAAAAGTCATTTGGATCCACCTCTGGGCCGCAAGCAGGTCGGCATTTAATCCATATACTCCAGTCTAACCAAGACATCAGCTTCTCGATGTCTTGTCTCCAGTCATTCATTATTTGAGCGACATCAGGCTCTCCATTCAGGTCAATGGGGAAAAGTGTGTCGAGCCCGCTCATGACACCCACGGCCCACATTTTCGTAGTGACCCGACAGACTTCTCTTGTTGTCTCTTCGACGGCTTTTAACAGCAAGTGTTCCGAAGGTGTCATGAAAGGTATTTGGTTGATTATCACGGAAGTGTGTGTTGTGGCGCATAGCCTGAAGATTGGGGATGCCCACTGCAAGGCATCTACACCTGAAGCGCCTGCGCTAGGGACGATGGTGGAATCCAATAGGTACGGCGTGAGCATAACACGGAGCTGTACTTGCGTGAGCTCCGCTCGCTGGAGGACTTCTTGCGAATCTGACGAGGTGAAATTGAGTAGATATTGCATCAACTCCAGCCGATCTGCATATCGATCAACGATGACGTGAGTGAGGGTCTTCCAGTCTATACCACTTCCAGGTTCTGCTCGACTGATGATTTCGGTGAGCTTTCTCTTCACCTGCAATATGTCCTCCGACGAGATTCCGAGCACCCGGTGGTCCCACCGTTCAAGCCCTGCGCGAACCGGGATGAGGGATGGTACTAGTGCAATATCATACAGTGAGATAAGACCAGTCAGGTCAAGCACAATGCGGGAATCTCCTGGGTAGCGATTGTGCCATGAGCCGGAGTGTATGACTTCAAATCTGCGAATCCCTGCACACAGATACATAAAACGTCAGTCGTATTGGAACATGGGAACAAAATACTGACAGGAAACAGAATCCGACGGAGGAGGAGGGAGAGGGCTTTGGTCCTTCAGTAAATTTCGGATATGAGCGAAAGATACTACCTCGACACCAGCCGTAAAATCACACAACATAACTTCACTAAAGGTTCATCAGTCGACAGCGTGACACAGAATCGAAGCATGCGCACAAGTCCATTTCCATCCTAGAAGTATGAGAATCAGTCATATACCATAGTGAGACGAGTCGCTAACCTCGCGAAACCGTCGATTCCGAGCTCCTTTCCCCACCTACAGAGATCTTTAATCCGTGGTCTTTCATCCCAGCATCGTTCAGGTTGCACTTCTCCCCAGGCAAATATATCCTGTGTATCCATTGTACCCTCGGATAGCTTAGCAGCACTATTTCCATCAAAGTACAAGACTTTCAGAGGTCGCGTTGCTGCCAGCGTGAGGTGCCAGCCATCCTTTCCACGAGCGAAAACAATGGAATGCTCTGGGTCCACAGCGGTCTGCGAAGGAGGGAAGACGATCAGTGCCAACGACAGCATCTATTTCAGCCTGAGCTTTCTTCTGCACATCAGGGAACAGTGTCATCGCCAAGAAAATTTAATAGACTGTGGAAACTGTCTGGAAATAGATGTTAATTTCAAGATATGACAATTAATCTGGGAGGAGCTAACCGTGTCGGCGCCACCAGTGTATAGAGATACAGCAGACCATTTTACCATGTGATCCTCCTCCGCAGACAAAGTACGACCTTTCAACAGATTTGAGGTGAAAGACACCGGGGCAATCCCGGCAGCCTGTACTACATTCAACTCGTGATCATCAAACTGTAGATGTTGATTACTATCTGATCCTTGACGAATATGTATGGTGCATCAACAGTTTCTTTGAGGGTCTGCCGCCATTCACGGGCCAGGCGCTTGAATCCAGCACCAGGAAACCACTCGGGAACATTGGCCACTAGAGGTATTCAGCTCATCGCAAACATCAGAACGAGTAGTCTCACACCATGGCATGATGTCAACCATGAAGGCACCAGTATCGCCGATCCGCGATAATTGGTTCATTGCGCGGTCTGCAAGGTCGATGAAAGGATCATTGTTATCATTCACTTCATATCCATAAGAGATTTGCAGAATGATAGCGCCAGCGGTGCTAAAGAAAAATCAAGGCGTGATCCATGCAATTACAAATACTACAGACTGTCGAATATGTGCTTGCAGTTGCTCAGGTTTTGCAAACACGCGCTTCAGGAATCGGCGGGTCTCTATTTCCTCGATCGGTTCGTAGACACTCATAGCTGCGCGACTGCCAATGATGCGGTGGATTGTTTTGCGGTAATAACGAAAGCGGTCACCATAAGAGAGAAAACCCAGAGCGTACTTCCAGCCAACAAGTTTACCACCCATTGTAAGAACCGGACGGTCAGAGTAGATAGAGCTTTTTGTGTCTAGCAATTCAATCGCTGCCTTCACAGAATTCAGTACAATGATGTGCCGACCCAGAACTTCGACGTGCAAGATGTCGCCTGCACAGCATGGAATTAGAATACATCGTGTTGAGAAACATGAGGGACTCGCCATATTTTTTGCCCCACTTCGCAAAGGTGAGCCAGGCCTTGTTGTGAGGCATGTCTGCGATGTTCCCAATGAGAGGCCACCCCGGAGGCCCAGGGGGATATGGTGCAGGGTTCTTCTTGCTGAATGCCTGCATGACCAGATACACTCCGGCGCTAGCAAGACATAGGTCCAGCCAAGTAACATTGGTGAATATGAGCATGCGGATAGCTGAGGAAGAGCAAGAGATCGCACAGCAAGCGATAAGATATTGGTAAGAGGAGTCCTCTCCTGGACAATATATGCGTAGGCAGCCAGACTACTCACATGTGCCAGCGATCAAAGCGGACACAGTTCAAGTTTGGCATCATGGTGATTGATGCGGCCATCATGCCCGGTCAAAGTTTGTGATGTCTGAATCCTCATGTTATCGCAGGCGGAAGTTAGTGAGGGAAGATATGACCTACTAATCGAAGGCTACGGCCAATAGCGTTCATAAGAAGACACGGAGGTCCGAGATGGTAATAGTAACTATTCCCTACCAAACCGCGAGATTAGTAAGTAGTTGCAAGCCTACCGCTTTTGGATCCTAAATGGGCTCTGATTATTTTCATTATCACTGCCTTTTTAGCGTCAAATGTTCCTTCTGATGAGACTTCGACTTGGATTGATGGTCATATATTAGCAGTACCAGTACATCTGCATGGCAGCGCATGGAAATGGCCATATCTGATTTTCACTAGGGTTAATAGGTGAATGATCACGTAGGTTGTCCAAATGTTTATCTATACGCATCTACTCTATATGTCAGCTTGGAATACCTTCTCGTACGCAATTAAAGCGTCATTGTTGAGATCGAAACATCCAGTGTATTCTAGAGTTCGTAGATGAGCCGGAAGAAACGTGGGGAGTGGAGAGGGAGCACAAGACACTGTTAAATGTTTGTTAGAAGTGTAAATGTAGTCCTTACGTGTAATAAGGTGCACGACAGCGCCAGGCACGGACCTGTGCGCTTCATCTACATAGTAATGAAGCTGTGCCACAGCAAACACGAACACATGAGACGCACCTTAAAACGGCTTGAACAAACAACTGCCCTCGACTCCCAACCCGAACCATTGATTGCTGGCGGTTGGGCTCGCCTGTACATTGTAGGATGCTCTAGACTCATCTGCAGTTTGGAACTGACCAGGTGCTTACCAGTAACTTGTGATACCCACTAAAATCTCTTACGCACTCTCGAATTTCGCAGCACCTGTATACGCTGTCTCATAAATGAGGATCGAGTCTTAATTCAATCCTGTAAGCACACTTTCTCATGAGTCACAGTTCGTGTTGTTCTGACAAGCATAAAATTGAAAGGAGATAGGCTCCCGTACTCACCAGCAAACTTTGCCATTGCCAGATTATTTGACCTGATTACAAGATCGCGGAAGACGTCTCTCATATACAATCCACAATCTGCCATAGTTGAGGTTTCTAGCGCAGACCATGATTTGGTTCGATGTGGGAACTCCATGTCAGACAATGCGAGGCCATACCGACTGGATAAGTGGTGTTGTTCACTTGCCTAGCAGACGACACATCATCACATGTTCGTTGGACGGCTCACTCCGATTATGGAGCTCAAACAGCGGCGAACAGGTAGGCGAGGACTGGCGGGACGGAAATGATGCAGTGCGGTCCATAGCATTGTCTCCAAGTGGAATGACAATTGCAAGCGGAAGTGAAGACGGAAAAGTGAGGCTGTGGAAAGTCGAGACGAAGAAGGTCATTGCAAAATGGACAGGACATACTAATGCTGTGTGTGCATTGTGCTGGAGTGCAGATGGTAAGCGACTAGCGAGTGGATCCTGGGATGGGACGGCAAGAGTCTGGGATAACAACGGCAAAACTGTCCTGACAATCAAGACCGGGCATGATTGGGTGTATGCGGTGATATACTCACCTGATGATTCAAAATTTGCGACGAGTGGTTATAAAGAGAATGCTGTACATGTCTGGGATGCCAAGACAGGTGAGCGACTCAAAATACTTGAACATAGCTGGGCTTTTGGCTTGGCATGGACGTCAGATGGAAGCAAGCTTCTGTCTGCTTCATACGGCCCGATTAGGATATTCGACACTGCCACTTGGCAGCAGATCGCCATGCTTGAAGGTCACACCGATGCTGTCTTCGCCCTCTCTTTCAATCAGGACACCCGTCTCCTTGCAAGTGCATCATGGGATAAAACAGTGCGCCTATGGAATCCCCAGACCAACTCCCCGATTGGACCACCCCTCCGCCACAAATGGGGTTTACGCTATGCAGCTCTTTCCCCTGATGGAAAGACGCTAGTCACTGCTTGCGAAAACAAGAATGTGTACTCATGGGACGTTCATGCCATCCTCCAAAAAGCTGGCCTTGGAAACTTACTTTCCATTGATACAAATCTTGTCAGTGTCAACATATCACTTGCTCTCTCTTACTAACAATGTGGACTCGAACAAAAGGCATCCGAGTCATCTCAAGATAATTCAGGATCACAGCACATACCTCGCTCGTCGCTCAATGACAACTCATTGTTGGAAGTATGTTCTGTATCTGTAATCCTTCTTATTCATTATAATCATAACATTCTAGGCTGATGCTACGGGTTGTCCTGGCCAATCTAGTGGTGATGATGAGCTCTCACCAACGTTTTTTGCCAGCATGGAAGCCAATACTCATGTGCGTAATCAGTATTTCAATCGTTTAATTTTGATTCAGTCAGCTGTGTTCTCAGTCCTTACAAATGGGTGGTGCATGCCCCCATTCCTCTGCAAATGTGTTCCTTGCTAGCCTTTCTTCATTCTACCACCGCTTTCGAACCAAAAATGGTGAAGCGACCGAACCTACACAATCCTCAAGTCCTTCCATTCCCGCACACTCTTCGCTCGTTTGTCGTTATTCATTCACCGCTCTCCATCTGAAAGTGATGCACCAGACGAACTTCAGCAACCATCCACACCTTCACGGTTAGATCTACTGGCTCGCTTTTCCTCATTTTTGTCTCGACCTCGACTTGGCACTGACAGAGAAGCAGAACCTCATCCGACAACACCTTTCAGTTTGCATCTAGATACACTCTCCAACCGGCTGTTCTCACTGTCCCGCTCTCAACCCCACACCAATGGGGAAATTGAACTCTCACAACGCCCAAATCATCCTCGTGTTGTCGAAGTGGCTGCAGTGCGTGACAAGAAGGTATATCTCTCCCGAGTGCCTTTATCATTGCTGTGCTTTAATGATTTCTGTTCAGCCTTTGGTTGTTGCTCGGGGGCCAAAATTTATGAAAGCAAAACGAGCGTATGATGAACAACAAACGCGGTTGCATGTCCAAGTCCCAGCAGTCGTCATCACAGACTCAGCCTGCCGATGCCTCAACATCCGGGACACCTTCTGCTCCAGGTATACCACCCACACAACCACCATCCATTCCATGGTGGGCTCTGATCGTACTATTTCTCTGCTGTGCATCTCCACCACAAAATCATGGTAATCGATCCAGTTAGAGCTAGCGTTGCAGCATATGCCCAACTATATCTTTGCTTTTAGTGATTTTCCACTTCATTATGCTTTTCGATACATCATTAATCTTGTTTCCTCGTTGCGAGACTTGTGCAATCCATCGCTAGTTGTTGCGAGTGAAGGACAGTGTGTATTCCGTACTTTCCTTTGTCTATTTTCCCTTCTTTCTATCATGGAAGCCTGTTCTGATACTACAAATCGGATACGAGCTACATTATATTTCTATATAGATAAAGTTATAACAAAGGCACAGTATATGTGGGCTATCAGAGTTCTGATACCGCTCGTACTCCGTAGTATATCAGGTAGCTTTCACCTGGAACACCACAGTCCACCAAACCTTTAACAGCAGCCCCTGTACATTCTTCGTCAACATAGCGTCTCACACCAGAGCGCCGGGAGCCACCACAACATAGACTAAGTTACTCCACCCCAGAAGTATATCAAAAGCTGTTAAGATATCAAAAAAAGTCAGCAAAGAAATGGAATACAAATTCGAGAGTACGCATACCGCTCACAAGCACCGTCAAAGAGTAGAATTGTATCATGCGAAAGTGAGCCATGTATATCGGGCGACACGCTATCTTGGGCGGTTCTTCTGGGTAAAATAATTTTGTCAATGGCAGCGCTCTTGCTCTAGGAAAGGCCTTACGCCATTATCAATCTTCTCAGATAGCCCCGCATAGACCTAGCTAGTGTAAATCATTTGGGCGAACAACCCTGTGAGAAAGTACAGAAGGGAGAAAGGGAACGTGTCATCCTCTGTTGCAAAGACAGAATGGAGATTAGCAGTATACTTACGCCCACATAGATTCCACCTCTTGAACGAACATGCGATCGTTTCGCTTCTCCCAGGTGTTCTCACCTCCTGCCACAGTTCTTCAAGAGTGGGCTTTCCAAAAATCAGTTGACAGACGGCAGAGAAGCGACATTGAGCACAGGGCTCAGTTGGTGGTCTGCAATCGTCGGGAAGTTCTGGGAGCTGGCTTTCTGTTTCTTTGGGAAATGTAGAAGGTGGGCTGACAGTCGTATTTGCTAGGTCCCTTGAGGGGTTGAGGGGAAAGACCAGGTTGTATGACTATGTATTAGAGCATAGTTCGAGGTGATAAGGCGTGCAAGGCGCTATCGGCCGCAGCTGATGGATACGCAGAGCGTTGTAGATCAAGAACATTGAGAGAGGCACGTATATACTGACTCAATTACGAAGTTAAAACCTGACTGAGTTATGTAAGTTTTGATCACTGACAAACGAAATGGACATAAGACTTACTTACTTCGCAGTGCACCAAAGCCTGCGAGATCTTGGGATCTCGTGCCAAGGTTAAGATGGAGGAATCAAGCAAAAGACCATGGAAGGTGATGCATATGGTCAAGGAGCAAGCGCCGGAATACTGCACACAAATCCACATATGACGAACGGCAGAAATTGAAGAAGTCAATGATGTGGGCTGGAGGAGAATGAGGAATAACGAAACAGCTTTCAGATCGTAGCTTGCATGGGTGTTATGAATTTCACCAAAAAGACGCCAGGAGTATTGATCACCATCCTTTAGAATGTGATGGGCGGCGATGCTGAACCACACGCTATCAAATAAAAGACGCACCAGGGCAACCTGATTATCAACAAAAACAGCGGACAGCTAGCGCAAGAGAAATAAATTCATTTGGATAGAACGATAACAGAAAGAGCTAATGGACTTCCAGCAAGTCAGCACCAAAATTCAACCTGGACTTGGGTATGCCCACTGGCTGCGAGGCACGTAAAAGAGGATGCGAGAAAAAATTGCTCCATGCGAAACACCAACTTGAATTGTTTCTTATCCTGAGCAAATGATTGAAGTCAGGGACGGAGCTGCACGGTTTGGAGATGTTCCTACCTCCTCACAACCTTGATATACTCCACCTATGCGACGGGTGTGCCTGGGTAACTAGTCCCATGAATGCCTCTGTCGAGATAACTCTAATATTCCTTGTGAGTTCCCAATGACCGAAAACCACTGCTCCTTATATGGTACACTGTTATTTATCAACGTCCTCAACTCGTTTGCTTTCTTGATGATCTTTGAATTCAATGCAGAAACTGATCACGAGGCTAGTAGGCTTAAGTCAGCCTTTTAGTTAGTTGGCAACTCATCTAATCCCGATTCATTAATGGAACGTCATGATGGGAGCAAGATGGTGAGTTCGGAAGAGAAACTCGCAGTGTCAATGGGAGAATTATATCACTGACCAAGTTGACAGTTTGTGTTTGCTGTTGTTTGGTATGTGTATGGTGCGTCGTGCGCGACCTCAAGCAAAGGTGCATGCTGCCGCAGCATATTATGATTTCATGTATGCATAGCTAGCTTTTATATACTTCCTTGGCTTAGATTTATAGCTATCGGAGTGTTTTTACATCAATCAGGGTTCCAGATCAACATTGCTCGCTCCACGATAGTTTTTGGATCAAGTCGATTTGTTGACTCGGGCAACTGGATCCAACCGGCGCTGCGAAGCTCTCACTAGTATGAATTCCCTCTCCACTTTTTTTACACTATTGACTATTTCTTGCAGTACTCTTTAGACCTGTTACTCGTAAGTCTATGGTGGCTTATATACATTGTACCCTGTATCCTATGTCATGGTCCTTCAGGTCAGTCGCCGCGCCTCCACAAAATTCAAGCTTTCCAACGTCCCTCAAAGCAGCTACAAATCCACTGGTTCCTGTGAATGCGAATCTGAACTCAGGCAGCCTACAGGTAGAATTCTGGCCGCTTTCTGATGCCCTTCGTCGCTACTGAACACATGTACGAGGTTTTAGCCAGACGCAATGGTGGATTGGTACGACGCTGTTTGTGGGTGACAGCTAAGCGCGCACTGTGTATAATTTGTTTGGAAAGCGAACGGGTCTATGCTTTTTCAGTGTTGTACTCAAAGAATGTTGAATTGCCGGTTCAGTCCATTTAACTTGATGTCTCAAGTATGCGAACGACACTGATATACCAATCAGTGTCCCTGAAGACATATCACTTCTCCGGGCTACTGTGATCACAACAATGAGACAGTACTCCAGGTGGTGCTTGCTATCCTGCCAGCCGAGCCTGGCCCATTCAAGTATGAATACTCTGTATATCCTGGTAATCGCCCCAGTTCTTTAGGAAAATTCCAAAGACTATGGTCAGTTGACTCCATCTGCATGATTGATATAGTATCGGATGCTAACGGTACCTCCCATCGTCCTTTCTCCACAACGGAAGTGCGAGGTCATGATTGGGTAGCCAGACTGGCCACACGCTGTCACTTCTGATGCAACTCCCTTTGCAAATTTGCATGCTGAGATGTGTCGAGATCATCGCGATGCCGACTACGCAATCGAGGCACTGCAGGGCTAAGTTCATGATCGGGCATGTCGTTGCTGTCTTGAATTTGGCTATGGGCTTGTAGAACCCCGTCGGGCACCCAGCATATAATGGTCCTCGGCATGGCTTTTTGACAATTGCGATACGCGACGGAGTACTGGTAACTTGCTGTAATTTGAACGAATCACGACTGATATATTACAAGCATCTTCAAGTTGATAAGCCTTGGCAAACACTACAACGCCATATGTGGTAGAGTACTGGTAACCAGCAAGAATCCAAGCGAATGAAACTGATAAGACAGGATAGGCTGGGCAGGCACTATGGGAAATATCGCAAGATACGGTCACTTGTGAAGGTATATTTAAATTCACCGACGAAGTTTTCCATGGAGTGATGGTTCCTTACTGAATTTCATGGACGGAGTTATCGAGGCTATGCATATCACCTTGCACAATGCCAGTGAGGTGGCAACCAACAAAATCATGGATCACGAACACATGCAGTCACCAATCAGAAAGCGTGTCGAGATTCCATCTTCAAAGTTTTCTGTGCTATATTGATCCAAAAGCACCCATCCAAGCAGATTCGAGATGTGGGAACGTGTGTCAACAATCGTATTTAATTGGGGTTTACGGGCCGCAATGGTTCTGGTCTCCTCTGACTTGCAGGCGAGTCAAGGCATAACAGCTGTATCTTTTTTTCTTTCTGAGATGTCTTATGTTTCGGAGGTTGCGGATTTGCAAATATCTAAGGTATGCAAGGGTCGTACCTTGATAATCTTGACGCTAACTTGACGATTGATTCAGTACGCCAATAGTAAGCGTTCGCGGATCGTTCGTGAATCAGGCAGCGATACTGACCATGTTATATCATTAGTCGGTGGTCTCGCAATACTCGTGAGTACTAAGCACATTCGTTGTGTTACCAGTTCGATTGACGACTCTTTTCGGTGTCTCAGATATTTGATTACTGTATCACGTTTCAGGATGAGGTCAAGAACCTGATCTGTCTATGACTGTGATTTTAATCACTCTCTACAGGTACGCTGGACCTGGTCCAGGCCATGGGGTTTGATTCATATCGTATTCATCATATCTCGATATCTCCCTTTCGTAGGTTCTGGATTAACTGCGTATGGTGAGTCACCCACTTTGGTGATCCTTATCTTTGCGTGTAGCTGATGACTATCTTAGCTGCACTGCGCGTCAGTGGTCCAGTAAGCATGCAAAGGCGATAGCCTCTAATGATAAACTGATTGCCGTGGCACAAAGTGTCCCCCTAGTCTGGAGGAAAATGGTGAATCCTCTCACCCAGTGGTTAATTTTGGCTCAGCCTAATAATGCGATCTTCAGTTATTCATATTTTAAGTATCGTTGCTGCGGAAGGTGGGAGTTACATACATCATCGTCCCTGCCAGGAACAGGGTAGATCATGCTTCTTTGACAGGCCTGCTGGTTATTCGCACCTGGGCATTCTGGAAAAAGAGCAAAAAATTGCTGATTGGATTGTTGATTTATAGCACCGTGCGTATCCCACAGGGTTGGAGTAAGGGCACAGATCTTTAACTTCACAATAGGCGACAGTCATTGGCGCCGTTGCTATGAATATCCTTCCTAATCATCAGTTGATTTCGACAGGTATGTTCGTTCGTGTTTACTAACACGTGTTGTGTTAATGCGGCCATCAGATGTATCTATGATACCTGGGCCATGTGGCTTTGAATCGTCAAGAAATTCTGCATTGGTATATTCTATATTGGCACTTTTTGAGTGTGGTCAGTGATTATTGAGGCATACCGTCGTACACCTAACCTACGAGCAAAACCTGGCAGTGATACTGATCCTCACTGCATATAAGTGGTTCCATGACTATCGAGACTCTGAAATTCAGACCTCGATCGTAACCACCGTCTACGGCGGTAGCATGCTTTACATGTTTTGTATCATCTGTACGTGGAAATACCCAACTTCAAAGTTGACATCGTTGTAACTTGTATATTTCGTTTCGCGAAGCCATAACAGTGATAAATGTAATTATCGACGCAGCATTTCCGGTATGTGTACATGTCTGTCAAAACTACAGCGACTTATCTTCTGTTGCTTGGCTGCAGGTTGGCTTTACGAATATGTTCGATACGTATGTACTGGTTAAACTGACCTTGGCTACCGAGTACGAACTCACCGCGTTTAGGCTACAACTCGTCATTCATAGCGTCCTAGCTTCGCGAATTCTATTCCACCTTCGGAGTAGCGACAGTCATGCTCATGAGGAGGATATGTCATTGATGATTTCAGCTCCACGTTATGGACAACCTTCGCAAATAGAGACGAACGAGATACGAGATGAAAGTCATGAAGTTTGAGGGAGGGGGCTTAGTAGTTTGTGCTCGGACTTGGACAGGATTGTGCTGAGATTAACTTCCTTTAGTTGTAACTATGAATGCACAGTGAGTTTATGATGAGCCATAGGATCTCACTGCAGAAACCGGTACATGAACAGGTTCTGAACAGACTTCATAACGGATTTTGTTGGCACGATATGAAGGCATCAAGCTTCAGACGGGATGAGACATACGGAGTATCATAGGTAAACGTGACTTATCCGATAATGCGACCTCGGAGGCTCGGACAGGCAGAAGTGTGACTTTCAATATTCGTCGATTTCTGATGTGAAAAATAGTTACCCACCTGCGAGGCAACACCGGAAGGTCAGAAAAGGCTCTATACGATTCATGAAGAGGCGTTATGTGCGTTGAAGGAGCCTTTCCATACCATACAACTTGGCCGTTGCAGGCCGCTGGCACTGCTTCAACGTTTCCGATCACCAAGTCACCTACATCGTGGTCCCTCGATCCTTTTCCGATCAATTACTCGCTCCAATTGTGCACCCAAGCGTGCGCTCTGCGATCGAAGAACTTTCAAGTGACGATGGGAGCCTCGCGATGGAATGTGAGTATGTTGAGGCGTCAAACCATGTGGCATGAGGAGTCGAATTTCAAACGCGAATACGTGATGTTCGAGCTCGAGTGGCGTCTGTCTTTACACTGCCTAGAAATGAAAGTGATCGGGTGAAGCACTGATATTCTGATAACTGATAAAGCGTGTTCGAGCTGTTGTAGGTCTGGTAAAAAGGACATAGAATGAATATGCTCACATTGATGCGGAAATTGGTGACTCCTGTCAGCAGATACAGCAACACTCTACTTTAAATTCATCGAAGACACGGTGCATCCAGCTAGAAGAAAAACCGTTGCTAAGGAGGACACTTGCATCTTAACCTTCAGAATACGAAATAGAGCGCCAACCAAAGCCCGGAAAATGTACTGTACCCCTGCGCACACATGCATGGCCCTAATAAACTCAAACGCACCTGTAATTTGCAACGTGTCAAGTATTGACAAAGGTTACGTCCTTCGGATAGCTAGCATGTGAGATTAATATTCAAAGGCATGACGCCCGTACCCGGTTCAAAACTTCATCCCGCCCATCTCATTTCCTCTCCAGATCAGAATGTCTAGAAGATAAAGGCGATCGTTCAAGACATGCATACACAAGACGCTGTACAAAGTATCACCACCTTCCAGACCTGACAAGCTATTTTCAATCTCGCGTCCCAATTCAATCAGCAACAAACTTACCAAATAGCAGCAGTTAAATGAGGCCATGACGCAAGTATCACTAGCTGGTCATCAGGAGTGTGGTAGAGATAAATGGAGAGCAGAAGAGATTGCAAATAAGTGGCTCCGTACGTGCACCTTTCAATGCATACGGCTCTCCCCCTAAATAAAAACTAAAAAAATACAAATAATCAATAGTTAATATTTAGGCGTCATAATCATCGTGACAAGGAAGATGCAAAACATCGACCCGATGACGAGGGCACAACAATCATTGGTCAGTGCACCATGGGAAGAACTTTTTTGGCTGAGATAAAGTAATAAATTGGAAACATGAATCTAAAAGCGAAGATTTGCTTGCTGGAGGAGCTTTCCGGATGTGAACATGTACACGACTACATGTTCATGTCCGATAAGCTCCTCCAGTACTGCCTGAGCAGCGGTGATGGTTCTGACTTCCATAACAGAGAAGCCGGATGAAACTTTCGTCTTGAGGTCATGAAATCTCAAATACTATTCTAGAAGAAATAATGAGCTGGGTGGTCGAGGCAAGATTTATTAGCATCGGTTTGACTTACGACGGTAGTGTAATTCACGATCTCAGAAAGGGTCTACAAACTCCATGGACAGATAGTCGTGGCTGGAACACGTCCCATGTTGGGAGCCATGTGCCTACCTGATGGTAGTATTGCAGACGGCGCAGAAGATTCTTCTGCGCATCTACGATGCTTCAATCCACACACGAGCGTTCGCTTCCTTCTGACGTAATATGAGTAGCGCAAAGGTTGATCGTGACATACCTCCCTAGAAACGAAACTTCCTAAGAAATGTAAGTGCCGATACAGGCTTGCAGAAGACCGAAGTTTGCTCTGTCCGAGGACGATGAGCCAATGGAAAGAGATATGGTTGGTGACTCGGGTCGTATGCAAGGATCTTCCAGCTTCGACCTTGAAGCCTTCTGAGACGGGCCTTTCTTCCCCCTCGGCCTCCTCATTTCTGGCAGCAGAAGAGATTCGTGGGCAACCCGACTGAGTGAGATCAGAGGCATGAGGACAGTGAGAGTCAGGATCAAGTCTCAGGCGTGCTCAATTCTCACGGTGTCAAGCTCCCAGCCAAACAAGGACAAAACCCACCCGCTGCTATGACGCAAGAGCGGAGTGGGTGGTCGCCTCGCACTCAGCTGCAGGGTATTCATGATCAAGCGCTCACTGGACTGCAGCGGCAATTAATTGAGAGTGTAACGTACATTAGTCCGCGGGCCCTGATGCATCGATAAGGATTAGAGCCTGAGATCGTTGCCAGTGGCTTCCATTAGACAGTATCCATTGATCGAACAGATCTCTCGTGTTTCAAAACTAAAGACTTACATACAGAAGGAAATCACTGTGTTGTCTTTTTGAGTATTGGGTGCCACCTAGCAACCACCTAGAAGTTGCTACATATCGATTCGCCCCGAATCGAGAGAGGAATGAATGGTGATTCTAGCTCGCACGACCAGTAGTATATTGTTTCATGACGGCGACGAGGAAGATTAAATAATTCGAAGTGTACAGGAATTAAAGGAACGACTACACAGGTATCAAGAGTTCTACGAAGAAAGCAAAACACCAGAAATATCACGATCATGCCAGTGTGGAAAATCTGTTATAGGCGAAAATACTGAACCATGCGCAAAAAAACAAACTATCCAACGACTTAACACGATTCTGCATAAAAAAATGATCCACGAATGTACCGAGAGCCACGACGCCTGTAAGGACGTTTATGAGATTCGCGCCTAGAGCGATGATGGAAAGTGCTGCCAGCAGAATTCCGTCAGTACCGAAATTGAAACTGAACCGAAGAAATAGGCATACCGCCCACGGTAGATGCCAAAGTGTAGGCGAAACAGAGTTGCGACATACGAAACATGCCGATGTGATACAAGACATCGTAACGTCCCAATCCGAATGGTTTCTTGTCCTGAGCATCATTTGGATCAATGACAGCTGCATGATTCGAAATTTTTCTTACCACCTTATCAGTTTCTATGATCGTCAAGGATGATTTGAAAAAGCGATTCAGGAAAAGTAGTCCTATGGCAGAGATGATGGACGAGACCCGTAGCAGTACTAAACAATACGTGACGGAAGTGGCATCGAAATGTTGAACACCAGGTGGTGGAGTTGTGACACACACTATGCTCGCATAAAAAACCATCATTTGCTACGAATACGAAACATGTTAGCCTTGCAAACAAAGAAGAATGGGTGAAGGGTGCACTCACGGCTACAAAGAGACGCATCGCGTCGCGGTATATACGATCGTTATACTCCTCCCAGCCCATTTCCTCTCTCGCTTCCTGCCATAATTTCTCGAGATTGGGCTGGTTAAGAATGAGAGTGCAGAGAAACGCAAAGGTCCGCTGAGCGCGGGTACCCAAGGGAGGTTTCCAATCTTCAGGAAGTTTTTGGAGCTGTTCCTCGACACTGTCTAAATCTATGTTGGACATGGTCGGAGGTAGCTGTTGTTCGATGGAAGTCATCTAGATGGACAACGTTAGCTGTGAGAGAAGGTCAACAAGAATAGTGTAGTATACTTACCTCGTAGTTGTACTAGCTCAAGAGCGAGTTGTTGCAAAAGCGGGGAACAGAGAAAGAGAGACTTAAAGCACAGGTTATTTGAGGGAGCGCATACGCACGAGAACTGGTATTCCACTAAGGTAGAAGCACCGGAGTAAATGATCTCCGAGGAAGTCAGAAAAGAAAATTAATTGTAATATCCGCAGATCGATCGATTTGAAATGATATATAACCGGATTTAACCGGGGAACGCAGACGATACATCTGGCTAGATGCTCTCCATCCATCTCTCCATGGCAGATAACGACTGACAAAGTAGTCCCACAGTGGACGAAAGATGACTCGCAAACATATACTGCAAGACTTGACGAAAGATACATAAGTGCAACATCACTAGAAACAAAGATGAGGGAGTTGTACAAACGTTGCAACGCTAGCTGCATTAACAACCACTGGCATGTGGTGGAGACACACAGCAGAGAAACAGCACGATCTGAGCCCACCATGCGATGGGTGACGGTTTTGTGGTTGCTGCACCTGGAGCAGGAGATGTCACGGATATTGAGGTACTGGCAGGTTGAGTGTGTGATGACGACGCCTGGGCTTGGTAGTGTGATTGAATTCGTTGCTCATCATATGCTCGTTTCGCTTTCAGGAAGTGTGGCCCCCGAGCAACAACCAAAGGCTGAATAGAAATCATTGAAACACGGCTATCGTAAAGACACGCAGGAGAGACATACCTTCTTGTCCCGCACTGCAGCCACTTCGACAACATGAGGATGGCTTGGGTGTCGCACGGGTTCGGTATCTTCATTGGTGTGGGATTGAGAACGAAAGAGTGAGGACAGCCGGCCGAGGAGTGCATGTGAATCTAACCGCGAGGGCGTAGATGGTTGCTGAAGTTCGTCTGGCGCATCATTTTTAGGGGGAGAGCGGTGAACGAATGACGACAGGCGAGCGAAAAGTGCGTGAATAGAGGAATGAAGTTGTGCACCATCCACGGGGGAGGACTGAAAGCAGAGGTCTCAATAAGAACTAAGAAAAATATAGATACTGAATACCCACATCCACGTCGGCTTCCATGCCATCAAAAAATGAGTTTTCATCCAGACCACAGAACTGGTCAGGACATTGTGTAGCATCAGCCTGAAGTGTTGCTATTATGAAGAATGATGGGGATTAGAAACAAGGCACGTACTTCCAAAAATGACTCGTCATGGGGCGAAGGGCGGGGTGTGTGATGTATTCCTGGATCATCTTGAGATGCCTTCTGTTTGAGCGGTGCCTAACAGCGGATATTGTTAGAGAGAGAGCGGAGGATAGATTGACACTCACTATAGTGGTACCAGTACTAGTGTAAAGTAGGTCTTCAAGACCAGCTTCTTTCAGGATGGCGTGAACGTCCCATGTGTACACGTTTCCGTTTTCGCAAGAAGTGACGAGCACCTTTCCGTCTGGGGAAAGGGTTGCAGAACTCAAGTCCTGTTGGTGCTGGAGGGGAGGTCCGACTGGGAGATTGGTATCGAGATTCCATGGACGCGCTGTTTTATCCCATGATGCACTCGCAAGGAGGCGGTTGTTCCAAGACAAGGAGATGGCGGAGACCTGATCCTTGTGACCTCCAAGGATGGCGATCTGCTTCCGAGTGGCAGTGTCGAATATTCTAATTAGGCCATTTGAACCGGAAATAAGCTTCTTCCTATCCGATGTCCAAGCCAAGCTGCGAACTACATCGTAATCATGGTGCTTGAGTGTATTGAGAAGCTCGCCCGTTTTTGAATCCCAGATTGTTACAGCCTGGTCTCCGCCAACCGCAATTTTTGATGAGTCAGGTGAGCACATCACCGCATACATCCAATTGTTCCCCGTTTCGATAGTCAGGACAGTGGTGCCGCTGTTGACATCCCACACTCTTGCCGTCCCATCCCAAGATCCACTCACCACTCGCTCCCCATCTGCACTCCAGCATAATGCATACACACTTCGGGTGTGTCCCACCCAAATGACTACGACCTTTGTCGTGTCAACATCAAACAACCTCACTTTTCCGTCATCACCTCCGCTGGCAGTCGTCTTTTCATCTGGGGACAATGCCATGGACCACACTCCGTCATTCTCATCCCGCCAGTCTTTGCCTATCTGTGTCCCACTCTCTAGGTCCCATAGTCGGAGTGAGCCGTCCATCGGACATGTAACGATGCGTCGGTCACGCAGGTGCACAACACCATTTACACAGTGGGTATGGCCTCGCATCACCTGGCGTGGTGTGACCATTGGCATCTTGCTGGTTAAAGAAGACATGGTCTGCGCTCGGCGGCCTCGCATCACCTGGCGTGGTGTGATCATTGGCATCTTTCTGGTTGAAGAAGACGTGGTCTGCGCTTGGAGTCTCAACTATGCCTGATCGTAGACTGTGCACACAAGACTTACGGGATCTTTGGATGATTAGACCAAATTATCTAACAACCGCAACGATTGTTGGTGAGTCCAGGGGCCTATCTCCTTTCAATCTGATGCTTTTCAGAACCACACAAGCCATATTTCACGGGACAGTGTGCTTACAGGATTCGATCCTCACTCACAAAATAGATAATGTATGTATGAGATCTCTCTGGGTATCTGAAGTCCCTGGTGAGTAAGTCGTCAGCTTTAACCGCATAGAGCATCACTCACAGGAAGCACCACTTAGAGGAGGGGCCCAGTGTACGATCACTGGCGACCAGTAGTGCCTGATTGAGAGGTGAGGAAGCTGGGCAGTCACTTGTTTATGCCGCTTTTAAAGCTGTGTCTCATCTGGTGATCACTTCACAACGATCATCTTCCTGTGTAGCCGAAGCGCTCGGGTCTGCGACCGCACTTCTCAACACAGCCATTCACACCGATAAGGTATGCGTTTGTTATGCGTCTTCCGGCCATTTTCCTTTCTCACCTCCTGCTATACTTGATAGCAAATTTACAGAAGAAGGTGACGAAACACCAAGCACGTGGCCCTGAGGGAGGTTTCCAGTTATCAGGACCTCTCCGTGAGTTGCGGAAGACGAGACGGCATTCGTCGTTGTCGAGCAAGGAATATCGAACAAGCTGTCCAGCTAAAGGGTGAATGGTAGTTTGAGCCAAGAGAGTATACTAGTTCATGGTACAACCACCGGCGGGTGGCTGCTGGCATAAGTCTGTGCGTGACCGTCAATTTGCAGGTGATCAGTCCTCCAGTTCATAAGTCTCTCGTATCTGTTGGTGTATCGCACATCCTGGCTCCCATTTCCAAACGACGAAAGCTTTCAGACTTAGGATATACTAACGAATTGCTTCATAAGCTCGAGGAATCTTGTTCCAGCCTTGATGAATCTAAAGCTTGATGAAAGCCGCTAGGTAGGATCCTCCGCTGATACATCAATAATTTGAAAAAAAAAAAAAAAAAAAAAAAAAAAAAAACATTGGTAGGCAGTGACGTGTAGGAATATTCAGAATCAGCACGACTCGGAACCGTTCATGTATATGAGCGAAAGCACCGACCTTGATGATATGGAACCAGAGGAGAACCTAAACCGCTTTCGGGCGTTACTGGTGACTTCTTTCCTTCCAAATCTTCCAATGACAGCTAGGCTGCCACTGTCAGCCGTTTCTGAGCAGAGCGCAGAGATAGTGTTCAAGCGACGCATTCAAGTTGTCGGAACTTGTGCTTGTCTCGATCTTTTTTAAATACGATATATGACACGCATGTTGCTTATATTGAGAGAAAAGATGAGAGGTTTAACTAATTTAGGTACAGCACGACCAACACCCTGGACCTACAAAGTAAGGCGATGTCCCTGGGTATGCACGGCAGTCCAAAGATTTTGCAGTGGAAGCGCAATCACCGTCGCAGGTTATACTCGCAGGAGGGGGTGCCGCTGCCAGTGCCACTGGAGTAAACAGGGTACTGGAAGTGGCAAGAATCGTGAGGTAAACCATTTGAACGAGCTTCATGGTATGATTGGTATCTGGTATAACTGTGCATCAGCCGACGTTATGACCATGTGAGGAGGCCACGCACCGACAAAAGTCTGATTGTGCAATGCGCGCGAAGTTGCTATGAAGAAGTCTTCGAAGTGCTATGATACGTTGGTTCAGTGAAATGCGCATAGTGTGGCGGAGGAGGGCTACTCACTGCAAGAGGAGGCGTTTGTGTCTGAGGCCTTTTCCACTCAACCGCGTTAATTTTATACTGGTTCTTGTTAGCGCTGGAGCAGTGGAGCCATGCTCGGAAAAAGTTTTATATCGAGAAGATATGATATGCAGCTCTGCCACTGAGTTCCCCTTGAAAATCCGCATTCAACCCGAGGCGCGCCGAGTTGGTGATATCAAATGCAAGATAAACCGAGCCAGCGAGTTCAAGTGGTGAATCTGGTGATCCAACAGGAAGGATGACCAGCAAATATTGATATTCGGATAAGATAAAAAAATTCGTCACTGCTGAGTCTTGGAGCCTCTACATGGCCATTTCTGAGTGGAGCGCAGGGGCAAGCAACACCTTGAAGTTGTCAGAGACGCGAGTCAGAAGAGTGATATTAATTGACGTGACGGTCGCGTCCTACGTGCCATATTACGTAACGCAGATGGCATAATGTGACTGAGTAAATGTTCCTTGTTTCGTACGCATTTCATTATGTTTAGATAGCCTCATTTAATCGAATCTTAATTTGTTCTTGTAAAAAGTTGTAACGAAATCCTGAATGATCTGTCGAACACACGACTGTCAAGTGCGAGATAAGTCTTCATAATGTTTTGTAAGTTTGAATAAAAGCCTTCTGAAATTACATATAATTATCTCTAGATTAGCGCTCAGGAGTAATACTTCGTGGGGCAGTAAAAAAGGTTTTCTAATCCGCTAAGTTATCTATTTTTGCAAAACTATGATGACTTGGAAAAAAATTCACGAAGTTCATCATATTTAGTCTACTTTTGTATCGGAGGGTTTTCCTGATGAGTATTATTGAGGAAATCGTACGTGTCAACCAACGCCTTGATACCTGTAACTGAAATTGTTGCAAAGAAACATCCGTCGTGTCTGGATCTAGATTACCAGCTGCGCATCAATATACACGATCCCGACGGTTCCGAACCACAAATTTGATATCATTACCGTGACTGTGCAGGTGCTTCGTCATGTGTGATGATACGTCAGACATCGACTACTACTGCCGTTAGCCTTACTCCGTGCATATAGGCGTCTAAGTACTCGTCGTCTTTTCGGCTAGTGCACTTAGTGAACCGGTGACAATATTCACCAATGATATGATTGTAGTTTCTTGATTTCTTGTCGTAAGGGCATGGTAATAGATTATTCTGTGCAAATACCATAAAGTTTACAACGTCAGAGTGTGCTACGATGCTCATGGCTACAGTACCTCTAGTGTTCTGACATCCATCACGCTGCGAATAAAAGTCGTGTCCTTGACTTGCCCTCGATAAACGCTATATGACGTGTATTGAGACTGATTCGAGAGGCAAAGGACCGAGTTCAACTTGCAACGTAGTTACAGCTCAACCAACACATAGGGCCCCAACTGACAAGGCACTGTTCCTGTCGGGCCGCAGTCCGAAAGTCGTTTACTTAACAGTTAAGCAACGCTGCCAGCATGTAGACTCCACATGGTAAGGCGTCATTCCTGAGTCACAGCTCAAAGGCAGATCAGGGACGCAAGGGCCTTTGCAGAGTAGAGATGGTTGAGAAGCAAATGCTGTCGTTGCCGGAGTGGCACTGGCAGCGATACTGGAGGCCGCAATGATCGTAAAGTAAATGACTTGAACGAGTTTCATGGGATCTGGTAAAACGATGCATCAGCCTGTGATCACTGGTCCTGGTCAGTCACTGGCATGCGATGAAACCACACACCGACAAAAGGTTTGATCCTGCAACGAGAGTGAAGTTATTATGAGAAAGTTTTAGACGTACTAGCTATCACATGCACAGGAAATTGGGGTCAAATAATGGTAGGGGAAAATGTTGTAGAAATGTCAAGTGACGGAAAGATATACGGTCGTGAGTCTCTGAAGCCTTTTAACTTAACCGCATTGACTTTATACTTCGTTTTTGTGGATACCGACAAGTTGATGCAACGTTGATAAACGAGGGGCTATCCGAATGAGAACTAGTGCATCGATGGTCTGGTCAGCGGACATTAGAGATTTCGTGAGTCTCCCCAGGGTGCTTTACGTTGATTGCAGTGGTTTTTCGAGTTATACATGACTTTATATTCCAATATAACGAAGATATTTTCTATATATATATGATCATATATTGGCATATAAGGATATCTGCGGCTCACCAGTCCTCTGATGGCAATACCTAATAAGCTCTATAACTCCAAGCTTTCGAGAGGGACCGAACACCTAATTCTGGAGCTGATAAAATCCGCGTGCAATCGAACGTGGCAGGATGTCATTAATTGCCGGAACAAGTATGGTATACTCATCTTGGATCGTGATCTATTGTCTCGACGTACAATGCGTCTGAGTTATTGGGTAGTTGAGATCGACTAAATTCTTGAACGAGTTAGACGTACTTGTAAGCTGTACCAAGCAAGAGGCTGCAGAAAGAGTCGACCGTCCGAGTCGCTCTAGGGCGGAGTATGGTCGCTCCGTGACTCGGAATATGTGGTAGACATGGAAGATTCAGAAACATGATCAGCAAAAATGAACTGCGCTACCGAAATCGTACTTTTATTAGCATCCGGTTTAAAAGAAGACTAGCATGTTAATGTCGAAATGAGCCGGTGGAGACGGATCGAGTGGTCCGACATCTGCGGTGACATGTATCTGCACAATTTTTCTGGCAATCATTTTGTTTGACGAGAAAGTCGCGATAGTACTGATGACTTTTGTGACCGGTAATCTGATCGATCCATTCACCAAATGCCCCGTAAAAACACCAACGTCAGGCAGTGTTGCGCTCGAGCCAGATTGAATAGGTTGTGGAGAGACTTTGTATGAGACAAGTTGGGAGTGTTACGTAATAATACATTGACAACCCCGCGACAGGCCGCGCCGCTCTGGGTGCTGCCATTCACCACCAGATATTGTCAAATGCCGTCAACCGCTCTCCCACTAAAAGTTACTCCTGCATCAACACCAGCAAGGGCTTCACCGCAGCCATCTGCTTCAGGCTCAAAGACTCCCACAAAGCATGCCATTGCCACCAACCCTGGTGAAATATCTAGCCCCCATGAGCTAACAGCTTTCGTGCGTTTTCCGAATTCCTGCTTCCCGACTGGCAAGTGACGACCAACAATTCTTACAGGTCGAAACGTTACTTGAGCAACTAGATACTCAATTTGACACCATGTCGTCTCAGATTCTTGATCATAGTACGTTTGTGACCTCCTGTGACCTTTCAATGAACCTACGGATTGAACCATCCCACAGTGATGCAAATGTCGAATAGAGTGGATGCACTGGAGGCTGCTATACAGGATATTATTAGCGGGGATGTAACCACACCAAGCGCATCTATGTCGTCGACACCGCTTCTAGCCGCCGGTGCTGCGCTGCCGGGTATTCGAAGGAGTGGAAGTGGTACCCAATGATGGGGATATGACACAGTTTCAGTCTTCAACTTCGTTTCATCAGTCAACCATGTGGGTCTATTTCTTATTGATGATAGCGTTAGCGACGTCGATCTCATCATTCGATCAGCACATGCAGACTGACCACTCGTATTGTTTTGCAATAGCAGACAATTGTATTCTTATCCGGCTCGGATCGTCTGCACACGCGAAGCAATACAGTTTTATTTTGACCTGCTAGTATGCTTTGGAAGCAGTTACCTGGATGCCCGTCTATATCGCACACTGCGTTAATTTAACCACTTAAATCTCTTCTCGAACGCTTGCAGTTCTAGTATAAGCTTCAATCATTTCGACTCACGGTATGCAAGCTCTATCTTCCCTTACTGATGTCGGCTACTTCTTCTCGCACAGACTTTGCATCTGTCCAGGATGTAATTTCCTCGTTCGTTCATTTGGGAAGGCTGTATCCACCTATTCGCCTGCGAGGAATGCATATCTTGAGTATCGCATCGGTGCGGTCTTATTGCGCAGCGACGATCGTGTGCTCGCCAATTGGAGTCGCTGTACACATACGACATGGATGAGAAGCCACAGCGACCAATGTCCGAAGTTTCTATCATCGCTCGGTACTGATATGATATCTATAACTCATGATTGTCTACGAATAGCCTGGAAAGCATAGATTCTAGTCAGCTTATTCGGTCCTGGAGACACAAGAAATGCATGTTCAATAGTACGTCGTTGTTGCTTTCTTCACGCAGATACCCAATCAGAAGCTTGAACTTGAGGATAGAGACTAACCCGATGTGTTGGACTTTACGCATAAAAGCCCCGATCCAGGTGCAGCGGGGGCCCTAAATCAGACAGCCATATCCAGTTCTCCGGTCATGTAACCTGTCATCCGGGTCCTTACTACTCCATCATGAGGAGATACCCCACATTTATTTATTATTTAGTATAAAACCACAAATCATGAAATAAGAGATCTGTAATCAAATTAAAGTCCGCTCCTCGTTCTGCAGAACTCCGGTAAACCCTGCTGGTGAACTCCACTACTCCTTACCTAATTTTCACCCTTGTCTTCTTTATCAATTATGGCCCATTCATGTGCAACTTCTCGGCCTGATATCAGAGAGAGCTTGTCCACAAGTAGGTCGTCAGAACGTTGACGTAGCAAATACAAGTACAGGCTTTCGGTCTCTAGTCCCAAAATGGCCATTGTGGTTTCCTTGTGATTGTCAATTTTGTGATTTACTACCTTATTGGAGATGGTTCGGAAGTCGCACTGGGTCGCCGGTGCCGGTGAAGAATGATCGCTCGAATCAAGATCAACCCTGCCAGCCGCTCGAAGTACTAATCTAGAGTTGAAACTGTCGTTCAAGCATCGTTTTACTATCCCTGACGAGCTGAATTTGATATATGACTAGACCAAATATGTAGGGCAACGAGAACAGACCCAACAAGCAAGGATGCGAAGAAGAGATTGACTGTCTGATTCGACATGATACGATTGATTGATTTGCTTGTCAGCAACATTGTAGGGCTACATGAGCACTCATCTCAAAGATTCCTCATTTGAATGAGGCCTATCTTAATAGGTTCGGTTCTTACATTATCCATGTGACTTCCTATTCGGAACGTCAAACACCTCTTTCAACTCTCTCTCAAATGCAGCCCAACTCGCAAATATGACAGTCCCCTCCCTCAGCTGCTTCGTAACATTGACTGCCCAAGTTCCCGCAAAGCCTTTCTTCATAAAGGATAGGGCGGTAATAATTTTCATCTGGTCGTTAACATAGACGGCCGGTTTAGCAGAAAATAATAGATAAAGTTGGCCCATGAAAGGATCAAAGGTGTCGTATTTTCCATCATAGGCGTCAAGTTCTGCGACTGATGCCTCAGGAGGAGCTGCAGATTGTGTCCACGGCACTGGTGTAGGCTGATTCAAAATCCGAGTTACCGCCTGGCTAAGGTCTTGTTGTCCTTGTACAAGCTGCGCAAGGAGTTGGAACAAGGCCGGCGCATCTCCACCATTAGGAAAAGACGTGTTTTGGTCGACGTCAAGTGAATTGGTGGTGGACGACATAATAGGGGTCGGAATATAAAGACGATTCTGTGATTGCAAGTGCTTTCGTTTTATTGTCAGCGACACCCTAAGTTAGATCCAAGGATTCCGGCACAGTTCCAGAAGGAAGAAACCAAGTAGATATTACTGCGGTGGTAGAACAGATAAGAACGAAAGCGAGGATCAAAACCGTAAACAAGCGCATAGTCATCACATATTCGAGGTCCGCTAGCCCGGAAAGGGACGGTCCGTTGTGTTCATCACAGCAATCCGCTCGCGTGCGAGCAAACACCAACTTGACGTCACGCAAGACAGTCGACGGAGAAGGTATGTAATATTCAGGTTGACCTGTCTCATTGGTGACTGAAAACCGCGATCCTTGACAATTGTAAATGGTCACAGGCTCTCAGATACCTATCGGACCATCTCAGCTCTGTTGCCATCATCAACCTTCATGTTAATGCCATTACAGCGAAGGTACATACTTTGTTTCTGTTCTTGCGTGTTGCCGAGCACTGCCACCGGTCGATCAGTCTGCAATGAAATGTCTTGAACAAGTCTTAAGTACTGTCATAGTGGTGTCATGTACATCGGGCGGGATAAAGTGAAGCGCATTGCTCCTGTTCATCGCAACAAACCATGTCAGCAGCCAGGGTACCGTCTCGTTTCTCTACTCCTGGGATTTTCAGCACTTTCAAGTTGGACTGCAAGGCTGCCGCACTCGAGTTCGTCGGGACAACGTTCTTTCTACTTCTAGGGCTCGGCGGTATCCAGGCGGCCAATAGCGAGGCTGAGTCCAGTGGCACGACCATCGAACATGTGATGTACATCGCCACATCCATGGGTTTCAGCCTCCTGGTCTCCGCTTGGTTGTTCTACAGGATCACCGGTGGCCTCTTCAACCCCAACATCACACTCGCACTGTTTCTCGTGGGCGTGATGAATCCTGTAAGATTTGTGTTGTTCTGTATCGCACAGCTGGTCGGAAGCATCGCTGCGTCGGCGTTGTTGCTTGCGCTAACCCCTGGACCGCTGGCTGTCAAGTAAGTAACCGATGTGACCATCGATTTTCTCGATCCTAACAAACTCTACCCTTTGCGATAGCACGTTCCTCCAAAAGGGAGTCAATTCAGCACAGGGCGTCTTCATCGAAATGTTTCTCACGGCAGCACTGGTGTTGGCCGTTCTGATGCTCGCCGCTGAAAAATCCCAGGTTACTCCATTTGCACCGGTACGGATGATTGGCATGTTTCACTATGAACAATGTTGAATATTGTGCATCAGATTGGTATTGGCCTGACATTGTTCGTTGGACAATTGTAAGTTGCGTACATACATCACCACATGGCAATGTGGTTAAGATCGCACAGATGGGCTGTCTTTTACACGGGCGCGGCTATGAATACGGCACGTGCATTCGGACCTGCTGTTGTCACCGGGTTTCCTTACCCTAGCCAATGGGTGGTAAGCAAAAATACTATTCGCAGACGCACACCTGAACTTTGCCTCTTGTAGTACTGGGTCGGATCCTTTCCTCGGCTCTCTGCTGGCATCTGTTTTCTATGCCATGCTGAAATGGTAAGTAAAATCTACGTGCTTGCTCGAATATACTGACTCCCATTGCAGGATGCACTATCAAGATTTGAATCCTGCACAGGCATCCACGCATGAGAAGGACTCGCCGGATCCGCTTGCCGTAGCACCGAGTGGTACAGAGAAGCCTTTATCTGATAGAAACGGTGCAGGAAATGAGGGAAGCGGGTCGAGTGAAGTGTAGAGTCGCTTTCAACCTCCGAGGACTTTTGCTCAAAGTAAAGCATGTAAGCCAACAGGCAGCACGATTTTTGACTCACACGCAGGCGTAAATGATATCCTCTATTGTTAGATTGTAGTTTCAAATATGGCTACTGTGTGATAAAATTTACGACGAGCTTCCTGTATTCATGTGGTCTTCGAATTCGAAGGACGTCAGTAAGGGACATAGTAGTACTCGAGGATAACTTACAGCTCAGCATGCACTGGACGAAATCAAAAGCTTAATATAGAACACTCGCGAAGGATGATCGTGGTTGTACTTACCCCAGTGCCCGGTGTCAAGCTCTTTCAGCTGATTCTGTGGGAAAAATTGGTCGATTAGAGGGATGTTGTGACGATTGACATATCTATCGAGGCAGTCAGGTTCTGGCGCAGATTTTTTGTGTGGCTGACACGCACTTGCTCTTCTTTCCCTTGATAATCAAAGCACGACCATGCCAGGATCGTTCCCCAGGTGCGTAAGGGAAAGATTCGATCTCTGCTCGGCCCTCTTTCAAGATGTCAACAGGGATCCTGAATTTCACAGGCGTTGCTTTGTTAACTTCTAAATTCGTGAGCAGAAATGATCGGACACTGGGATCCTAGAGGACATCGTAAGCATACGAAAAGTTGCGAGTGCGGTTCAAAGACACCTGTTCATGCTGAGACATTATTTCGTCCGCTTCCTTTCTCGTGAAGATGTTGCCTGCTTGTATTATTTCCATGGCACGTATGTGTTGTACGGTATCCTGCGAGACTTTGGCTCTGACGGGAGCAATGTCAGATACTATAAGGTCTGTGAGTAAGTCAGAGGGCAGTTCGGGATGCAATGCGAGGGCCATTGCGACCTTGCCGCCCCTTACATAGAATGAGCATTTAATACAGCAGACTGTTAAAAGAGAGCACACATAGAATGCCCCATAAGTGATATATTGCGCAATGAGTGTTTCTGACAGAAACTAAAGACGTCCGCTGCCATGTGAGAATATGACATCGGTTTAGCATGCGGTGAAGATCCGTGGTTCCGCAAATCCTAGTTTCGGTTAGTCATGCTATATCGCAGAGCGAGACTATCACTAACGAGTGTATATACGGGTCTGCTGAGGTCGCGCATGAACGCCTTGGAGAGAGACTGCCAGTTACGCTTCGAACCGCTGTCCGCTTCATGAGTACGTGATAGAAGTGGACAGCAGAGAAAGAGACTAACAAGAACCCGTGTAAGATGAGGAGTGGTCTATGCGATCGATTTCCATCTGCGGGTATGTGTTCGTCGTGGGCTAGCTCGACGGGTGACACGGCAGTGGACAGGCATCCTGTGAACCGATGTTAAGCTAGACTTTGGACCATTGCGATAGCGCAACAAGAAGTGGTGTCATACTGTTTCGTAGAATTTGTGAAAGGTCGGTCGAAAAGAGTGTCGAGGCCCTGTGCTGCACAGAAGACTTGAAAATCATCCTGGGACCCAAAGCGGAGCTGCGTAGAGAAGTCGTTTGGGGATTTTGATTGCCGGTTAATTTGCCGGTTTAGATTCTGCCTCCGCAACTTGTTGGATCGAGCAAGGCTCAACTTGAAGCAAATTATGGTGTAGCACAACTTCATCTACCTCAGCGTTGTGATCTCTTGTAGTATCTAACCCTTGAAATCAGCTATGACAGTCGACATCCATCTACCTTCACCTCCGAACTTCGAATACCCTCCAGGCTCCCGATGGCTCCAATGCCGCTTATGCAAGCCTTGGCCCCGCACATATCGACATGGTCAAACGAATCAGATGAGACTAATTGGACTGCATGCCACGGGTAAGTATGTTTGTCCTTTGACCTGCATGCTATCAGAATCACGAGACAACTTCCAGGAACTCTCACTCTGCTCTTTCCCAAGGTTCGGAGAGACCCACTGGCACAAGGACTCATATCGCCGTATTTCAGTTGCGCCACCTGGATTCATGTTTATTATAGCTTCTGCGGTAAATATGAACACCAGGGGTTGATCAGGTGATGGATGAATTCGGACATTAATGATAGTGGCCCCATGATGGGGTCGTGCAGAATTCAAATACAGGAGCGTTCCTGCTCAGTGCTTCCGCCCGCCCTATCCGCTTTCCGCCATGGGTTTCAAAGACGCACTGGCAGATGTTTCGCGTTGTCGTAATGCATACACAATCGCCCTATCTGCATCTATGGGTTCCATCTTATTTGGTTGGGACACCGGACTTATGGGCGGCATTCTAACCCTTACATCTTTCCAGAATTATTTCGGTATCGATAAGTTGTCCGCGTCTGCTCAAGCCAATTTCAATGGAAATATCGTGTCAGTTATGCAGGCTGGATGCATGTACGTCATCAGGAATATAAAACGCTTTGCCACTCATGTTATTGTCCAGCTTCGGTGTTTTATTGACCAGTTGGGCGTCCAGTCGCTTTGGGCGGAAACGGTCTCTGATTGCTTCGGGCGTCATATACGTCATCGGAAGCATGATTCAATCCATCGCTGGCCTCGGAAGTAGCCAGGCTGTCGCTCTTCGAGTGCTATACTTCAGTCGTGTCTTTGCTGGCATCGGGGTGGGCATGGTATCCGCATTGGCTCCCTCATACATATCAGAGTGCATGCCCAGACACATTAGGGGGAGGTGTACTGGCCTCGTCCAGTTTTCTGACAATATCGGCATGATGCTGAGCTGTACGTATCCATCTGTAGATGAGGTAACCTCGGATTGATCAAACATTTGTCACAGTCTGGGTGAATTACAGCACTTCTATCAACATCCCATATAGCGACATCCAATGGCGCATGCCTTTCATAATCCAGCTTGTCCCGGGCATCATCTTCATCCTCCTCATGATTCCACAACCAGAGTCACCCCGTTGGTTGGTCGAGCAGGAACGCTACGACGAGGCCGCAAGGACGCTTGCATATGTTGTTCGAACGTCAGTCGATGACAAAGTCGTTCTTCTGACACTCGACGAGATCAAAGCGGACTACGTCGGCAAGCAACGGATATCTTTGGTCACACAGTTCCGCATGATGGGAGAGTCACGTCAAACTGCGCTTCGCTGCTTGATCCCCTCCATCCTTACCTTCTTTCAGCAATGGACTGGTACAAACGCTGTCAACTACTTCAGCCCGCAGATCTTTGACGCGCTTGGTGTCACCGGTACAGCATCTGGCCTATTTGCAACAGGAATATACGGTCTCGTAAAAGTCATCGCAGTCGGTCTTACCCTTGCATTTGCTGTGGAAAGTTGGGGTCGCAAGATGTGCCTCTTCGTGGGTGCTGTGGGGCAAGGTTTGACCATGCTCTGGATCGGCGGCTTCGGCGCCGTCCACCCGCAGACTGCTCTTGTACCTGCGAGTTATGTGTCAATCGTCGCCGTCTACCTCTACGCAGTATTTTACTGTATCGGCTGGGGACCTCTGCCGTGGGTCGTGGCCAGCGAAGTTGCCCCCAACCATGTCCGCGCAGCTACACTTACTGTCGCGATCAGCATCAACTGGTTGTTTTCATTTACAATAACACGCCTAACGCCGGTGATGCTGGAGAAGATCACATACGGGACATTTTTGCTCTTTGGCATCTGCTGTATAATTATGGCAGTGTGGACGTATTTCTTCCTGCCTGAGACGAAAGGGTATACGTTGGAGGACATCAAGTATTTGTTCGAGAAGGATGTGATAGTGAGGTCTTTGGAGGATGCGCCTGGTGGTCGCGTGTTCCTTGGAGGAAAGCGAGCAACGCCTGTGGAGGATATGAAGGGAGGGACAGATATCCAAGATTCGAGTGACACTGGTTCCCGAAAGGCGGATGAAGAGTGTATTGAAGTCTCTAGTTTCCACATTTGACCAGTTTTATTTCCTTAAGCGCTTGCACAGTGTACATCCCCGACTCCCTGAAGGATTTTGCACCTTGTGGTTTCAGTACAACGAGGAATGTCATCATGCCAGCTCACAGTATCTGCCCGTATCTGTGGTTGGAGATTCTAGATGCCCTTGCAATTGCCTTGTTTTTTAAATGTCACACGGAAATTCTGATGAACGATATCTCGTTAGTTTTTCAACATCTCCCTCCCTCCTGTTTGTCTTTGATTTCAGTCAATATGCGAGGGATATAAGATTACCAGAGTCAGGGTCTGGCGTCTACGATTAAATAGGTACGTAATAATTCGGCAACTTGCAGGAAAGATGCCGGTTTTTTCGCGACGCGTAGTTGTAATCCAACTTGACCCCGATTCCCGAGGCTGGAGCACTATACGTGTTGTAGAACTTATAATACGCAATGGTCTCCATAAATGTGTCTGCAGCAGGAAAGCCAATTGCTCTGGCTCGTGGCCTCCCCATGGTCGTGGAACTTCCCGGGAAGCAACTAGAGGACGCGACTATTGCAGATGTTAAGAATGCAATCGCTGAAAAATATCCTAGAGTAAGTCTTTTTCTGTCCACACAAACGAACGTCTAAAACCATTTTTAAGTTCTACTTGGAACGCCAAAAAATTACCCTCAAGAATTCCAAGAGTATTCTAGCTGATGATGTTACATTGAAGGCTGCTGGTGTGGCAGAAGGCGGGGAGTTGTCTGTGAAAGACCTCGGACCGCAACTGAGCTGGAAAACTGTATTCTTAGTTGAATATGTGAGTCTCGTGTGCGATCCGTGGTTGCGAGTTACTGACGTGTCATCCCCAGGCTGGCCCACTGTTCATCCACCCAGTGATCTACTACTTCCCCAAGTTGTTTTATGGCGGTCCTGTGCAGCACAGTATGCTTCAACGGTATTTGCATGCATGACTTTCTGGTTTAAATAGTGTGCTCAAGCGTGATCAGCTATGTATTGGCATTTGTCATGCTGCACTTCGCCAAACGTGAGCTAGAAACGCTGTTTGTGCATCGTTTTTCGCATGCGACTATGCCCTTCATGAATATCTTCAAGAAGTGCGCATTTTGAGATACATGCTGCTCTGGTAGACTAACCGACACGTGTTTGTTAGCTCTGCTCATTATCACCTTGGAAGTGGTATGTCTATGTGTATTGGGAGATAGCAATCAAGCTGACTTCATATGAGGCCTTGCCCTTGCGTACAGCATTTACAGTCCTGTATATGGTGCTGCCTCGCCTTACATCCGTGGCACGTTCCGCGATGATCCTTTGTACATTCAAGCAGGCGCTGCTATCTGGCTGGTGTGTCTTGGTATTTTGACATGCATTTTAACGCATAAATATCTGCCTCATTTTAGTTCTCCGAAATATCTAATTTCATCACCCACATGAAGCTCCGTGCCCTCCGGCCTGCAGGAAGCCGCAAACGCGGCATTCCCCAAGGATACGGCTTCAACCTCGTCTCAGTCCCGAACTACTTCTTCGAATTCCTTGGATGGTTGGTCATCGCGACTCTCACGGGAAGCTACGCTGGTACGTGTTTCTTTCTGTTTTTCGTGCTTCTGTTTTGAAATTATGGTCTGCGAACTAGCCTGGATATTCCTGGCCATTGCGACGTATCAAATGTACGTGTGGGCTGTCAAGAAGCACCGTGCATATAGGAAAGAGTTTGGGAGCCATTACCCAAGGGATAGGAAGGCGATGTTCCCTTTCATTGCGTAGGTGGTATGTGATGCATCTTAGTGGTATGCCATTATACGTGTGTACTATATCCGAAGATGATTGCTTTCGTGTCTATGGGAACCACTATAGTTCTTTGCGTGTTCTTCCATTCTGCCTCGTGGACCAAAGGTAAAGCGCGTTTAAGAATCATTGATCGTGCACAAGCCCGCGCGGTCGCAAACCACTTGCGAACAGCTTACCATACGTGTTCCTAGGTCGGTTTCGTTTGTTTTAGTGACCCATTTCTTATTGATCTATAGGAAGCATATCACTCTATCAAGGAATCACGCCGGCTTAGAAGATGGGCTGAGAAGTCATTGATCCTTTCGTGACTGGACATATCTGCCGCGACCTGAGTACATGAAACCTGAGAAGAACTACTGAACAAGCCAACTCCGACCACGCTCGCTCACAAACGCTGATGCTCTAGATTTCTATGTTACTTGCAGATTCATTTAGTATGTGTACATAAATCTCCTTTCATGCGACAGGATCAATGAATCGCCGAAAACACTCTAGCAACTCACAGCGATCGTTCAAAGACGAGTGTACGTTCAAATAGCTCTACCTCAATTCTTTTCTTTGGGGCTGGGCAACCCAGCAAATGCAGCTCAAAGCTCTTTTTTCCTGCAAACGTCACACAGCACCGCCGGCATGGATATGTTACGCCGAGATGTATGTCTTGAATGTGCTTGACAATGGCGCTTTTTTCCATGTGCTGTGCGCAGCCATCCCACCAGCATGTCAGGGTGGTGTCTTCAGCCCCCCGGCACCCGTGAACGCTACAGAGGTGCAAGGATAGCGCGTCATCTTTAAGGACATCGCGGCAGCGCACTCCATCGCCTCTGTCCCATAGGCAGATGATTTTGTCCTTCAATAGGGTTGGTGGGGATGGTGCCTTTTGAAAAGATGGGCAACGTTGATCTGGATCGCAGGGAATATGGACTCACCAACCCGATGGTGTACTCGATGGTCATCACGCAGTTTAGGAATTAATTAGAGTGGTCTATGGTGGGTGAAAGCGCGATATGAGTGCATCCCGGCGTCACAGCGCCTCTTATTATAAATGGTCTGCGAACGACGCCAACACAACATCTGAGTCAGGGAACAATCCCAAAAGGTTGTCAAAAAGCTGCGGTTTGCAAGTAGAACATGCCACTTAGATTAATGTAGATAACCCATTGTCTCGGTGTCAAAGCGAAACACATCAGAGCTTGAAATTACGTGGCTGAGGCTTGATCAAAACCTTGTCACTTTCCTGATCTAGCATGCCCATCTGTATCACCTGCACGCACCCTATATCACACCTCTACACAGTTTACGAATCTGCGTACAACCTGAGACTTGAACAATGCGTTGGTGCACAGTGCTGTTCATTTTGATTCTATTCTAACGCGAAAATCACTGGCAGAGCAAATGCCTGAAATTTGCAGATCCATATGTCGAACACGACTCTCTGACGCTCCTCTTGGACCTCATTCTGCTGAAGCGAGAAGTGTATAGACATTTGATGTATAATAGAGGAACGGAACCGCGAAAGGCGTTTGGGAAGAGCAAGACCGGCCTCGAGGCAAGTCAGGAAGGCGAGCCCAAATTGGATGCTACCAAAAACCGACAAAGGGAGAAAGTGAGGAATTGCTGAGTCTGTCGATAATATAGTCGCTGATTACCAGGCTTATAGGACAGGTGGTGGCTTATTTTGAAGCTTGCCTGCGGGCTTATCACCGTCGATGCATGTACGTGAGGTCATTGACCATGAGTCCCATTGCACTATGGCTCATTTGTCCTAGTTATTCGATGGGCACAGCTCAGTGAGCTTTATTTCTGTTTCAAAGGCTGTCGCGTTCTCATCATGGTCATTAGATCCTCAGATATCCGCAGACGTTTCACGGTGGACAGTTGAAACCAACATTGTCTTCCTCCGGATCTTCATTGGATGCCTTATAGGTACGATGCTTGTTTTTCTTCATTCTGGCATTATGCTGACAGCTCCTGCAGAAACATTTGCATTTCATGGAGGAGTGATGTTTGCATCGTATTTTGTACTCGCACTCTTGGATTTTGTTCGTTCAAGGAGAAGTACCTCGCCAGTAGAGATATCAGGTGTTCGACAACAGTTCAAGTGAGGTTTAAAGTCTCGTGTGATGATGAATATCTCAATTGCAAGCCTAGGTTCTCGCTCATCCCTCTGACAATTTTCTACTCTTCCCTCACAAAGCTCTTCCTTCTGTTCTTGCTCACGATATGGCGCCCTTCCGCATCTAAACCTGGAGGTTCTCCATACTATTGGGATCCTTCATACTACAGCAGCCCTCTTGTCACACGTGCCCTCGAGATATGGGATGAGGACAAACTAGATCGTGAGTGGGTCGTTAGGAATGTTTTGGGTGGAATGGCGACTGGTTTTGGACTTCGTGGTTTGTCTTGGTCTATATTTCTTATGATTCGCACTTGTTGAACGATTCCTTCGTAGTTGTGCTCGACTGTCATCCTGTCTTTACGACAGTTGTGATCCTTGTTGGATGGTTGGCGAAAACAGTTGTTGCGGGATTTGTCAAGAATTGGGTGGGTGGAGACGAACATAGTGGGGACAAATGGATGGCGTATAGCATCCCTTAGTGTCCTATATAGTCCTCTGTTCCTCTTGTATAGATTTGATTTAGATCAAGGTTGGAGTAAGCCAAGAAGGACCCCTGACACCAACAATATCGGAACGTATGCAATCCAATTCAAGCGCATACGCATATCATTCACGACTAGAACCACAGCAATGCCCGCAGTATCCGGTTCATCCTCTCGCGCCCTGAACGCGATCCTACCGCTTGTCGCGTCTGGGCAGCCCTACGAAGCGCACCAGAAAGCACGCACCTTCGCTTCACGATACAACAAGTCTGGGCAGTACGACACTGCCATCGACGTGCTCTTCCAGAGTGCAAGGGAACTCTTGAAAGTTGGCCAGCAGGGAAGTGGAACAGATTTGACATTGTTTCTGTTAGAAGTATATGAAAGCAAGGGCGAGGCCGTGGATGATGAGTCTCGAGGTGTGTGCTCCTGATCCACCGCGTGCAAGGGAATACGTCACTGATTCGATATGCTCAGGGAGATTAACCCAGCTCATCGCGCTGACTGGATCATCTGGATCCTGGAGGAAAACAATCATTGATAGATCCATATCGTACAGTTGTCCTCACATCGGATCGGACCAGGGCTGATCATTATAATGCGTTTAGATGGTCAGCCAGACATGGTGATTGTCCTGCAGGTGACCAAGACTTACATCACTATATCGGAGAGCTCTTGTACAAAGGTATATATATGATAGTATCTGCAAGAGTGACCGTCGTGCTCACGATGTGTAGATGGGGCCTTCGATGCGGCAGAACCTCATTTCCTCGCGTCGGGCAAAAGGGATAGCGCACGTTCACTAGCGAACATGATGATAGAATGGTCTGCAGCGGGCGGAGCTCTAGGGAACTTTGCTCTTCGAGGTACACTCCCGTAAGTCAGAACTCGCGTCCATATTGTTATTGTTTCTAAGTTCATGGCATCCCACCACAGATATCTACAAAATGGCAACATCGTCGGAGCTCGCACCTTCATTTCTCAGTTCATTGCACAAGCGATTTCATCTCGACCGAATCTGATTTCGCCGCTGCAGACATCTCCATTGCCAGTGGCCCCTACGAGTGAAATCACACACACGACTGAGCCTGTGCTCAACTTCTGTCAGCTTGCAGTCTTGACATGTCAACGTGCGAATGGGGACAAGAATAAAGTGATGCGCGAGAGCTGGGTAAGGCTTTGCGGGACATATCAATCTAAAGGTGGCGTCTTAGCGACCAGGGAGGTTCGGACGGTAAGTCAAATCATTGGATTGCCTTCTTGATTTTCTAAAAACAAACCGCATCGTTTAGACGCTACAAGAGATAGCAACGTTGTACTTTTCAATTCCCCCGCCACGTACTCAGCCTGATAATCCATTGGGGGCTATGCTCTCCTCTATGCTGGGGGGTGGAATGCCGGGAGGAGAGGCTCCTCCACGGCGGATGCTATCTCCGGCTGTGAGTGCACCATCGGCACCAGGGTTAGACTAGTTTCTGTTCAAAAGCTTCTGATTGGGTGTGGTTTGGGCTTCAGCGGGACGGACTGGGAGGCTAAGGTAATCGAAAGGGACGTGTTATTGTGTATCTTATATGTATCAAGACACAGTCGTTGTACATATTTTACTTTACATGTACAATCGTTCTTTGCTATACACGTGTTCTGCCTTTTCGTTCTCCATTCTAACAGGTTATCTGATAGTTCTCCTGTTGTTTCTAGTCCGAGTCTATCTTCATTTGAGACGAAACGATCCTGACTTATTCATGCAAGAGTAATAGCCTCCTGCAGTTGGCCTAACGCATGCATATGAGAGTCGGTATGTCTAACCTACACGCACGACATGGACGTATGAATCACATTTTGATCCATATGTCCTCGGAGGGTATTATTTAGAGTTAGGAGGGAAAATAATGAGGTGCGAGTAGTACTGAGGCAATATTGAAGACAACGTCTTCGCAAGTGGAGTATATTGAGGTTCCTCGTGGCTAGTTAAAGGTTCAAAGTATTCAGCATGTAAGATGAAGGCACGGTGCACTATTTCATGGTGCACGCAATACAGACTCCAGAGAGATACTCTTAGCACAAGAGCCCTCTAACTCCAAATTCTCTGAGTCTAGCGCATTCACTCATCCCTTCCTCTCTTCCCCTTCGAAGCCTCTCTCCACCGAGCCTTCCACTCCTTCGTCAGCGCACCTTTTTGGGTCTCCCATTGGGAGTGAATTTCGGAGGTAGTTTGGGTGCGACAGAAGGGCTTCCCGTTTTTGTCTTTCTCTTTGTCCCCGTGAGGGAAGAGGGAGAATATATCTCGAGGTGCATTTCTCGCGTTATAGGAGCGCGAACGGAGGGTTGGTGGGAGAGGGAAGAAAAAGGGGAAATTTGAGTCTAGCGTTGGGTGCTCTTGTGGCTGCTCACGAGGAACTGAGACTGCGTGAGGTACCGTGTGATGTGATTGGGTTGGGTGGGGAAGATCTGAAATCCCGAGCAAGTCTTCATCCTCAAAGTCCAGATCGAGATGACCGACTAATGAAAATCCGGCTGCAACAAGTCGCAGTTAGTCAAGATCAACCAAAATGAAGACGGTGGCATTAAAAGAGGGGAAAAAAAAACAAATGTAGTGCGATAAAACGAGATGTATACAATGAAATAAGAACACACCTTCCTCCTCCCTCGGCGCAAACAGATCTTTCAGTTGTGTTTGCTTCTGATTCTGAGCAGACGGCGTTGATGTGGACGTAGGACGAGATTGCGAGTTGAGCGTAGACATTACTGTTTCTGATTCCAATTCTATATCCTTGTAGTTCTCATGCGGAACTTCCTCAATCTCGATATCACCCTCATCCACATCCATCCGCGTGCCAGCCTGAGGCACCCTTGCCTTACCTTTACCCTCAAGACGCGCGTCTTCAATATCAGACAAGCTCTCCTGTCCACCCCATCCTTCGTCCCCGTCCCCAAAGAGGGAACGAAGGAATGCAAGAGAAGTGAGTTTTTCTTGCGTGAGGGAGGGAATTGCTCCAGTCGCAGCTTCAGTTACAGGTGAACGAGCAATGGGAAAGGGCGCCAACTCTGGTGATGGGAGAGGACTACTAGGTGCACTTTTGGTGTCTTGTTCGTCGTCGTCGTTCTCGGCCGCCTCATCACGTCGTTTTCTCGGGACCACAGGCCCACTAGCGTGTTGTGCAAGATCCACAGGGCCCGCTACCTCGGCATCCAACCAGATACCCTTCAGATGTGTTGAGTCCCAGCGCGTCGGATCGATCGTCCGGCGCCGCGCACGCGCGAGGGGAAGTTTGACGCGTTTTTTGCGTTTGCCTGTCACAAGTTTTCCGTCTTTGTCATACTTCTTCCCTGCACTGGTAAGTACCCGAGGTGGCTCCAATGGCTTATCAGGTCTCATCCGCATGACTCTGACTACACGTCCCATCTCAGTGACCTTCCATCCTCCTCGGGAACATGCTGTCTCTGGCGTGACCAGTGACATGTCAGGCGCATAGGTGCCTACCTTGGAATTGACGCGCCGTTTTTTGGGTGGTGGAGTGGGAACAGAAGCGAGCCTGTGGTTTGTGGGGATCAGTGGGTAGTGAGTGAGCTAGGGTAGAAAAACGCACCGTTCACGAAAATCAGGCTTTGCATCTCCAATACGGAGCTTGGCGCCTTTCCATACTGTTCCACTGAGTACATTTACGCCTAGCCAATTTCAGCCATGAATTCCACCAAAAAGAAAGAAAAAAAAAAAAGAACTTACACCTCGCCACGTCTGTTCTGGTACCCTCGATCGTCGCATAGCCGAAAGGCCTCGGTTGGCCTAGTGCATCGAGTTTGCCAAAGCCATCGAGGGAGATTACCCTGCCAAAGGCGCCGAGTCGCTTGGCAAGATCAGCAGGTGTGATGGCAGTTGTTGTGAGACCAGATATGTGCAGGCGTTTTGTTATGGTTTCGGTGGGCATGATGGTTTACCAAAGGTTCAGATCGAGGGCACGGTGACGCGACGCTTAAACTGAGGAGGCGCGACCTCAGGCAGCTGTAGGAACGAGTTCGGAGATGGGGGGAAAGAGCAGGGGAGGACGTGGGACTTGCACTCGACGTTGTAGATGGAAAAATGGAGTGTTGTTGAGCCGCCGACGAGTTCAAGCCACCACCGGGCAAGGCACGTGCACAAGATATAAACATTTATGAAAATTGGCATTGCAGACGAGTTCGCAGGTTGACGTATTAATAGACGTTTACTGATTAGAGCTACGTGACATTGACAACACAACGGCAGATCCGCGAGTGCCCAGTAGTTTGTCGAGCCCTTCAGATACAAGATAGTTCTATTGTACATCTCAATGTAATACACATTCTGTCGTGTGGCAATCAGGAAGGCTACTATATAAGAAACCACCAATATTGTTTGCAGTTCCACATGTTTCAGATCATCAGTTGGCAGCGCACAATGATGGCACCTCGTATGGAGAATCAGGAAAAAGCAGAGGCTGTGGAAGGAGTATCATTGCAACATCTACATACCGAGTCTAGGAAAGCAAATATGGCAGCTCTATAGTTTATCAATTGAAGGGGTGCTCTATGCAGGTGCACAGATCTTCCGGCAGAAACCTAGAATCATTCAAGTAGCTTCTGATCCTTGATTTTCTCCTTGGAGATCGCGACCGCCCAAATATCCTGTACTGAAGCCCAATACCTCTCTGGTTCCACCCGGATGTGTGCTACATGTTCGCTCTCTTCAAACAGTTCGCAGCGTACATCCATTCCGCGCTCCTTCGCAATCTCGGCATGTTGTGTGACATCTTGCCACGGAATCAATTTATCCTTGCGCGAGAAAAGATAGAGGCGGGGTGTGTGGAGGCCCATCCATGGCAGGACGCGGGGATTCCACATTTCTATCCGGAGGTTTTCCATCATCATTACTCGCTTACCCAATACCAGAGAGAGGCCAAGGCCGACGAAGTGCATTGTGTATATCATAGCGAGTACGATGACCCTGAGAATTGGGTTCCGGATGACGGCGCTGAAAGCGAGTTTAATTGTTTTTACACCACCCGTTGCCGGACACGAGTCGAGGATCAACGCGCTCGTGATGAATTGTTGAATTAATGCAGAGCCGTATTTCTGCTGTAGCATGTGTCCAAGAAGTGTCATTTGCAGGGAGCCTCCTGGTGGTGCATAGAACGATCAGCTTGTTCCGCATTCAGCCTGGGTTAACCTACCATTGGAAAACACGTGAGTGAGTATGCGGGGAGGCGGTTGAGCAGAAGAGGAAGATGGGAAACAGTGCAGTGCTTCTAAAGCATCGATTACAGGCATTAGGCGCCGTTTCTTTCAATTGTGAGCCAGCAAAAAAAACAGTGAGGAATTGGGAGATGCTCACTCTAGTACCCGTTGTAGTCCAGAACACGTCGGGATTGCACCGAATAACGATTTGAGACGCGTTTGGATATAATTTGGTATATGCATGGGTATAATTCTGCAAATGCCTAAGTTGTGCTCCCACTACAGATGCATCACGTTAGACGAGAACTTGGGCAAGAACGAAAAGAGTAATGGCGTACTCCATCCGAATATCAAAATGACGCTAAAGAATTGAAGGCCTCGTAACATGTCAGCTATTATGCTATCACGAACATCGACTCACTTTGGCGATGTAGTATCCTGGCATTGCTCGTGGGTACTCCGAAGATATATCCCAGTGCCAATTGTACTGAACCCTTCCAGAGAATGAACTTTCTGCGACATAGTGGTAGAGACGTACGTGGTACCCCCATTAGTAAAGTTTCCCCAATGAAACTAGCAACAGTGGCACGTGTTCCTATAAAGCGAGTTTACCATCAGCTGTCATTGAGTAACGCAATCAGAACCATGGCATCTGATTGGACATTCGACTCTTCCTGACATTGGAACTTGTAGTCGCAGGCAGTTCATACTTGTGCGACGAGCAGCCTGAATGACTCAAGTTCTAACGCAGTGTCAAAGTCAGGTGGCCCGGGTGGGGCCCGGGGCGGCTTGTTTGCCGAGGATCTGGGATAATAACAGGTCACGCCTGCGGTACTAGTACTCCGCTTATGATTTATGTAATATGCCCTAGAGTACTTATTACTGGCACTAGTAGCACCGACGAGCGCCTGTCCTTTCATATCAATGTTCGAAGTGGTATAATTATGATTTCTCGAGTTACAAGAGAGTCCTGGTGTGCACTAACGACCACCTGGACTCGGAGATGCCGTCTGATCCATACCCTTCCCACCCCACCCTCGACCGCTTCTCTATCCCGCGCAGAAGATCAAGAAGGTGCGAAGGTTTGGCTTCGCTCGTTCCAAGACGCCAAAACCGTCCCAAAAAATCTAGTCGAACTTACTTTCTCTCGCAGTTCTGGTCCCGGAGGACAGGTGCATCCATATTACCGTTTTCCGTGAGAGTGCGGTGTACTTAATTGATATTGGTTAGAATGTCAATAAAGTAGAGACCAAAGTTTCTGCGCGCTGTCGCGTAGACGCACCTTGGATACCGATATGGGCGCGCGAGAGTCTCGCCAGGACGGTGATTTGTGGAGCTTGACGATGCGACTGTCGGACTGAAACCGTTTCATTCAAGCCGTACTACGTCAAAACGTCGCATTCTTTACTGGTCTCTTCTAGCGCTTCTCGTTCACAAGCGCAAAACATTGATGATTCCCTGAACAAAGTCAGTTCAACTTGTCGATTATGTATATCAAACTGAACTGAACTTCTTTTCAAGATGCATGCCATTGTGATGGGCGCTGCGAAGAACTTTATTACGAATGAACCCAGTGCAGAACAAAGACAAAGGGTTGCCAATCTAGAAAAGGCCCACGCGAATCGAAGGAGATTGGAGAAGGATAAACGCAGTGCCGTGAAGAAGATGAGGTCCGATAAAGGATGGAGCGAATAGTGTCTTGGTTAGTACTCTACACGGCTATGGGTACAAAAACTATCTAAATGAATATTGAGAAATCTTCACTAACAGCATATTAGCCCGACTCCGTCGCAGAACAGATTTCCATAATGACTGCGAATATCTGTAACAGTATACGAAGAATGGTGCAGATCCGGGAAGGGACATCATTCGACGCAGTGCCACTATTCATACCGTGATGACAAGCACACTATTCCAGAAACCAACCAAGCTCCCGCGTGGAGCAAGGAAATTTCGGTGTGCGAGTAATCTTACAAGCACAGGCAGAAAGTAGTAATACCGCTCCAATGGAGAGGTATCAGAATATCTAATTATGTTCAACAGTAACGCTCATTCATAGTTGTTTCGAATTCTTCCTGACGCTCAGGGTGCATACGGGCTCGAACTATAGGTGTTAATTGTCCTCCTTCCTCCGATCAATTACTTGATTTTGCACGACATATGTTTTAGGGTCTGTGATATTCCCGCTCCCTCGCTTAGTGGGTTTTAGATCGGACCGCCCACAAAATCACTACGTGATACAAAGGTCCTTCATTTGCACAAGCGCTGACCGTTATCCATCAGACTGGCATTGAGGCACCAGCGCGTTCGGTGCTCCTTTTTAGCACGTCCTCCCGCACGAACGCACAAGGAACATATTTCACTCATACTCGGAGTATTGAATGAATTGCACAAGACTCTAGAATGGACGGTTTCGTGAAAGAATGCGAAACAACAGTTAACATGGAAGGGAATCCTACAACTTGAACTGGCAGGTGCTAAGTGATCGAGATGAAAGGGGATCGAAAATCAACAACATGAAAGCCTGTATTAGACGAACGCAACACACCCGTATGAATCAAGAACTCCTTCTGCTTGAGTGGCACTTTCGTCTTGACGGAGCACGTCGCACGGTTGGTGCTCAGGCCGCCTTCGTACTGTTCATCATACGATTCTTAAACATATTCTCGTAGAAAAATTCGACAACGTCCTTCGCGACGGCGTCATAGACCACACCCACAGCGTGCCGATGATGCTCTTGAACCCAGAAAACTGGAGTCCGGCTGCAAAATGCAGGCTTGAGTGGGATGTCGTGGTGCCAGTCTGAAGTTCTCTACAGCAAGCGACGAATTAGCAAACTTGCGTTCCACCTTGTAACGAGACAAATAGGATTGCTGTAACCACAAGTAGCTGAAATTTTCTGTTTGAGTGCAGTGAAGGCAAAACCTTCAGCGACTTTTGGCACAATCGAATGACCACCTCAACATCTTTATTCTTCTCAATTTGCATGAAACGAGAACAGAACGCTGAACGCAAATTGAGAAGAGTTGTATGATTATCGGGATGACCTTGCTGCCATAGCTGAAGTGATTCCCGGTACAGGTTGATGGTCTCGTTGAGATCCTTGCTGGCTTTTGATGTGTTATATCTGGTGTTGAGAGCGGTGGCAAGGTTGTTGAGCGCGTGATACCGATTATGAGGCAGGCGCAACGTCAGTGCCTCGCGCAGGAGGCTGATGGCTCTCATGAAGTCGTTCACATTACCGCATTGAAATAGGCGCGGAAGGAACCTAGGTTGTTCGATAGGGTATCATGATATTTGTGCCTAGCAGGGCGCAGACATAGCACTTCTTCATGCAAAGAGATTGCCTCATTGAGGTCATTATACATATGTGCTTTGGTGATTGAAGCGGCAATCGACAAGGCCAAGTTATTCAGGTAGGTATCAGACGTAGTCAACTGACCCTTGTCTGCACGATCAACCTCACGACGCTGGCAGTGCGGCCTGAGCTTCTATTGCATAATAATTGTTAGGGTTGATCCGGCCGCATCGACTTACTCAAATATCCTTGATGCACATGTACTCCTTGCAGCAAAATGCACAGTCATAGACGTACGTTCCTTCTCGTGCAACATATTCTCTACTACGGCGGGTGCTTTAATCAATATCGCACCATACAGGCTACAACATGCTTCGGTTGCATAATTCTGACGCCCACCGTAAACGATTCACAGGTTATGCGTGGCGCGATATCCTGCGAGCATCTTATTCTCAAGTGTTAGTTGAAATCCATCCTTTGGCCACATGTCAGGATCCGTTCCTGGCCATTTCAATGACTCCTCTTCAGCCTTGGAAGAGGGCCTCAGTCACCCAGAACACCCCCAGGACACAGGACATAGAAACCTTATGATCAGTGAAGCGCTACAAGTTGTCGTCAATAGTATGTGTCACACCTATCTTCATTTACTACGTACCGACGATTTTCCAAAAGCACTCCTGGCGGCACTTCATTTTGTCATTTGTTTCTTGTTTTGTTTCGTGACAGACTCCGTGCCAGACCCGCTCAATCATAGCCTCCAAGCCTTAGGTGAGGAGCCGGGCCAACCACAACAACCCCAGGATTCAGGAGAGACAAACCTGGTGACCAATGAAATGATACAAGTCGCCATCAACAGTATGCGTCATCTACCTTCACTCAGCACGTGGTGCCCATGATTTCCCATGATAGATTCCGTTTCGGATCCACTCGATGATGCCCTTCCAGTCATGGGTGAGGAGCCAAGCCACTCAGAACACACACAGGACTCGGGAGAGATACACCTCAGTGGAGTGCAACAAGTCGTCATTACTTGTATGTATCATCTATCTTTATCCAGCTCGTATTGACGGTTTCCCTCAAGCCATTCGCGCAACTGATCTCGCTCTTGGTCTCCGACGGATTCCCGCTGGCTTCCATGTGGTAGTCAAGGTTGACGGCGCTGAATATCGGACAAGCAATAAATCTGCACACGTGGATCAAGCTGTCGTCGAATGGCACGAGCGGATTTTTCTGTAAGTGGTCTTCAACCCCGTCTGTCTTGCAGGTATTGAGAAAGACTCGAGGCCGTGCGAGCCATCTTCTAAAGCTCGGGTCAGCGTGTATGCATCATTTGAATTGGGTCTCATGCTCTGTTACGGAGAACTCCTCCGCACATTCGAGATCTCTGTTGGAGAATTACTGGATCGCAGCGAAAGGTCTCATCGTCAGTATTGTCCATTGCAAATAACGCCTGACAGATGCTAACGAGTGTCACAGCCATAATATTTCAACCGAAGCAGGAAGAAGTCGTATCCGCTTGTACTTCACTGTTCATGGTGGTGGAGCAGCGGTTTTCTGACCAAAACGACAGCGGAATTCTTTGTCCCCTTACTACCGTGAGTGATCAATGTAGTCTGGGATTCTGATGCTGATCGCTGTAATCTGTAGCTTACATCTCGCGATATGGATGCGTTAGCTCAAAGGACGGATGCCGGACATCGTCTTCTCGCACGATACCGCAGGACGCAGAATGACAGTGATCTCGACCAATCCATAAATCACTTCCAACGCGCCTCAGATCTCTGCCCTGTGGATCATCCCTACCGCCCTGCAGCAATGTTCAATCTAGCTACCGTGAAGTTCGTTAGTTGGCAAGCTAACGGAAGATACCTCGACCTCGACATACCTATCTCACTTTTTCAAGACGCACTTGATTTGTATCCCACTGGTCATCCAGACCGATCCACCACCCAACTCCATCTTGCCATTTCTCTGCTCTCTCGCTTCACAAGGCGGGAATCTCAAACAGATGCCGACACAGCTGAAGAGTTACTGAGCGAAGTGCTTGATGTCTGTCACGCCAACAGCCACATTTACAGAGCAGCTTTGATTGCAATAGAAACATCCGCTCTGCATTCTGTTGGAAGCATGGATGCAAATGATCTTCAGCAGGAGCGGCCTGCCGCACCCATACTTCCGTTATCGCCAAATCAGCTTTTTCATCGAGCACAGCGATGTTTGGAGAGAGATGAACCCGGTGCCTTAGATGAAGTGATATCCCTTCATTATGATGCACTGGGATACTACAATACCGGACATGCTTACCAAGGGCAATTGCTATGTGATCTGGCTCTGATGCTGCAAATTCGCTTCGAGCGTCGAGGCAATGGCAAAGACTTGGATCAGGCTATCGCGCTTCAGACGGAAGAGCTGGCCTTGTGCCCGGTCGGTCACACAGGTCGGTCTACGTCATTAAATAACCTCGCGAATCAACTCTCCTCCCGCTTTGAGCACCGAGGCAACGCTAAAGACTTGGATCAGGCTATCGCACTTCACAGGGAAGCGCTGGCCTTGCGCCCGGTCGGTCACACAGATCGGCCCGGGTCATTAAATAATCTCGCAAATCAACTCTCCTCCCGCTTTGAGCACCGAGGCAACGACGAAGACTTGGATCAGGCTATCGCACTTCACAGGGAAGCGCTGGCCTTGTGCCCGGTCGGTCACACAGATCGGTACGGGTCATTAAATAACCTCGCGACTCAACTCTCCTCCCGCTTTGAGCACCGAGGCAACGACGAAGACTTGAATCAGGCTATCGCACTTCACAGGGAAGCGCTGGCCTTGCGCCCGGTCGGTCACATAGATCGGTCCATGTCATTAAATAGCCTCGCGATTCAACTCTCCTCCCGCTTTCAGCACCGAGGCAATAGAGAAGACCTCGAAGAGTCACGAGAGAACCTATGCTGTGCATTGGCTCTGATGATGCAACATGATCCTTGTCAATTACTAGTCCATAGTTCGCTGGCTAGCGTTTGTTTGTCGTTCCATCGTTCAAGCCTTGGCGATACTATCGCAGGTGAAGCACTGATAGTCTGAATGCTGCCATGTATCATTTCAAGGCAGCAGCAAATATCGTCCCTGGAGGCTTGCTATCCCGCCTGCGAACAAGCCTGCGTTGGGTTGATGAAGCTTCTCAACATTCACATCCCACTGAACTGGCGGCATATGCAACTTCCATGCAACTTCTGGACGCTTATATGTCTACAACATCTTCAGTATCGTCTCGTCACAATATTATGAAGGAATTCCCAAGTACACTTGCCGTTGATGCTGCATGCTGTGCTCTTCGTAGTGGTGATGTGTGTCGCGCTATCGAGTTGTTGGAACAAGGCAGGACTATCATCTGGACCCAGATGACACGACTCCGCACCCCTCTTGACGGCCTTCAGACTCACGGCGATCATGGAGTAGTCCTGATGAAGAGATTCAGAGACCTCAGCTCTCTCCTCGACAAACCTCCTGCGAACTATTCGGAAGGAAACTCGAGAGTCGATAGAGAAGCAGAGGAAACCCGGTACAGACGTCTAGTGGCGGAGTGGAATAGAGCTGTAGAAGAGATCCGGAAGATCGAAAGCTTCTCCCGCTTCCTACTCTCCCCCCTTATTCTCTGACCTTCAAGATGCAGCTCGTGATGGGCCTGTTATCGTGCTCATCGCAAGCGAGGCGTCGTGCCACGCCATTATCATCCCGCACAAGCAACCTCCGACTAGCATTCAACTCCCTACCGATTGGCAGAAACTCGTCAAATTAGTACTAGCAGTCCGAGAGGCAGTTGAAAAAGAGGCTGGTCCTAAAGGGAACCAAACAGCGCTGATAAAAGCTTTGAGAGAGTTGTGGAACGATGTGGTCGGCCCGGTGGTCGAAAGTCTGGGTGGAATCGCACGACCAGGTTCCCGAATATGGTGGTGCCCAACGTCTCTCTTCAATTTCTTGCCATTACATGCTGCTGGCGAGTACAGGGCAAAGGGAAAGTCCCTTTCGCAGCAGTATATCTCTTCATACACTCCATCGCTCACCGCGCTGATCAAGGCTCGCAGAAGTCATGAGAGGTCCTTGGAGGTGCCCTTCGTGGCGATTGGTCAGGATTTCCCAGCCGGTGCCTCATTCACTTTGGATGCTGTGGAGCCTGAGCTGGAGTTGGTGCGGGGACTTTTGCCCCCTCCCCCTACTGTTTCCTTCTTCAAGGTTACCAGCGTGGATGCCACGAGATTGAGAGCATTGTGTGCGTTGCGGGACAATACTTGGCTCCATCTCGCATGTCACGGGACACAGAAAGTTGACGAACCCTTCAAATCAGCCTTTCTTATGCGCGACCAGCCGCTTTCGCTCCTCGATATCACGCAAATGGATCTGTCTCGGCATGAATTTGCGTTTCTTTCAGCCTGTGAGACCGCAGTCGGTAACTTTCATACGCCCGACGAAGTGATACACCTAGCGGCTGGCCTGCAATTTGCCGGGGTTAATAGCGTAGTGGGGACAATGTGGAAGGTCACCGATAGTACGGTGCAGCACTTAGTCAAGGCATTCTACAAAAACTTATGCGGAGATGGTCCAATGAATTCCAAACGAGCTGCCTGGGCGCTGCACCGAGCGGTCCAGTCATTGGCGAGTGACGAGAACATCACAATGCCCTTGGACCAGCGCATAGTGTTCGTGCATATTGGCATATGATCGATTCCGTGCGTCCTCCCACCTTGTTGATTAAAACATCCTGACGACTTTGCATGTAGCATCCAGTCATAGCCACGAACGTGTGAATTGCCAAGGAGTTCGATATTGCAGACTTTGAGACTGTATACCTACAGAATATGTACACCTAAGTTTGACTTCAATTTTTATTTTCCACTTTGTTGCCTCGCCGAAGCTAACTGATCTGAAAATGTATACCCAATTTGTATTTTCCAGTTTGTTGCCTTGGGGCCAGAGTTGCGCCAGATGTTATCGCCCCTAAGATCCGCTCAGGCTGATGAATTACGGGTAAGTTGCACGACACATGACACCTCATGTGGCAAAACACAATTTGCTATGGACGTGATAGTCAAGTGTCTGAATTGCATGAGGGCGTTGAATTTACTCCCACCCATTATGCAGCACCGAAATGCGATATTTATACCAATGACCTTGAACCTGGCAGTATGATAGATATATCATAAACGAATGAAAACATGTACTAGTCGTTCGTTCTCTTTTCGAAATAGATGCTGTCTTTCAACTCCGACTAAAAGAGTGACTCCAACCTTATGTATATCTACCAGTATCGGAGTGTCTGCTGGAGTCTCCAGCAATGATGGAGTCCCTGCACTGCGCTGCACACTTGGCTTCAGTGTCAAGATGGCCAATTCATTGATGAGTCTAGCAAACCAAATTCATTTGGATTGACGAAACTCTCATTTGAACACTTCAACTACCTCCTCGTGCACGTCACTTTCGCCATAGAGTCGGTCACCTAGTGGAAGGCCCAGTGATAGGCAGGATGTCTGTTAGTGGTCAGTCATGCATCATTGTGACGTTTACGCTGTTAAATGTCTATAGTTTCCAATAGTTCGATTTGTTTTGTCGCGCCCTTCAATTTCCGGTGTTGCAACGTTGAGCAGACGGTGGTCCGAGTGTTACTCCACACATTGATCGAGTTATTTGCAATGGTTACCTGGTACTACAGACATCACGCCCCTGATATTATCAGAAGCCCGAGCACTGCTAGATCTACATGCATAATAATCGAATATCGTCCTGCCTTGCATCGTTGGAAACTCTCGGACAGGACTTAATGCCGGTGTTGAGTTTCACCGCAACTAAGCCAAAAACTGCTAAAGGAAGCTGCGATAATACTGCTGATCTGGCGGAGTTTGCGATATTATCTGTTCGCGTTTCTCCTTGGATATTGCGACCGCCCAAACCTCTTGTACCGAAGACCAATACCTCTCTGGTTCAATCCGCATGTGTGACACATGGTCGCTCTCTTCAAATAGCTCGCACCGAACATCCATTCCGAGCTCCTTTGCTGTCTTGGCATGGTGCATGACTTCTTGCCACGGACTCGATTTATCCTTGCGCGAGAAAAGGTAGAGACGCGGAGTGTGGAGGCCCATCCATGGCAGAACGCGGGGATTTCGCATGTCGATGTGGATGTTTGAAACCAACGTCATTCGCTTACCAAACAGCAGAGATAGGCAATGGCGGATAAAGTACACCGTGGATATGAAGGTGAGTATGATGGGTCTGATAATCGGGTTCTGGACCATGGCGCTGAACACGATTTTGACTGTATTCAAGTCAACAATTGTTGGGCATGAGTCAAGGATCAATGCGCTCGTCAATGACCGTTGGGCGAATACAGAACCATATTTCTGCTGCAGCATGTGGCCAAGACATGTCAGTTGCAGGGAACCTCCTGGTGAAGAATCAGCTCGTTCTAATTTCAGCCTGGGCGAACCCACCATTGGAAAATACGTGTGTTAGTATTCGGGGACGCTTTTGTGCAGAGGAAGATTTAGAAGATGGCAAGCAATGCAGTGCCTCCAAGGCTTCAATAACAGGCACGAGACGTCGTTGCTTTTAATCGTGTGAGGCGACAAGTCATCAGTGAGCAATCGACGCGATGTGCTCACTATAGTACTAATTTTACTCCAGAACGTGTCGGGGTTGGACCGAACAACGATTTGAGACGCGTTTGGATATAACTTGGTATATGTGTTGGTATAATTCCGCAAATACCTAAGCTGTGCACCCACTATAGACGCAACACGTTAGACCAGGACTTCAACAGGGATGAGACGAATAATGGCCTACTCCATGCGAATATCAAAATGACACTGTGGAACGCCTGATGAGCTGTCTTGTCAAGCAACTCACACCAGACTTACTTTGGCGATGTGTCCGAGCCCTGGCCTTGTTCACGGCTATCCCGAAGATATATCCCAGGAGCAATCATACTGAATCCTTCCAGGGAATGAACTCTAGGTGTCGGCGACATGCTTGTAGAGATTGACTTCATACTGGTTTCCTGATTGGTACTACCAGAAACGAACGCAACGAAAAAAAAAACGATATACTGATTGCAAACTGTTACTGCAATTGGGCTTTTTGAGACTTTCCCTGGACCGTGGATTTACTCGCATGTCAACAGATAAGCGAAGACCTGACCACACCTAACACAGAAATCGACACTGATGGCGGCGGCAAGACATTATGTTATATTTTTGATATCAAACAAGCCGAGGCCTTTGCTACAATAGCCGATGTGTACAGCATCTGTTGATATCAACTTACAAATGTCCTTTTGCGCTTATACTAGAGTGATTTTATGCGTGGAGCACTCGCTGAGGACGGCCCTTTGATTTGAACGAGAACTTGCTGAGCTATGAACGACAACCTCGAAACGAAATCACTTACCTCCATGGAATTAGGAAGTTATGTACAGTACTTCTATACGATTGCTGCTCCTGACGTTATGTTTGCTTGGCATCTGTCAAGGATTTTGAGCTGCGAATTGGTATGACAGGAATTTAGCATGTCCATCGGGAGCATACAGATTACTGGTTGCATGCCTCAAACATTTAGAACCACGAACTAACATGGACTGAATTTTAAATATCTAGGATAGTGACAGCACCAGCGGCCGAGCCTAGTGCAACGCAGCCTCTTTCCTCGTCGTAATCAAGACATGTCCAATTCTCACCACGATTTTTCCACGATGACTTGACCTGCGCTTCACCTTGAGTATTGAACAACCCAGGGAAGGCAGCGACGACAAGTGTTTCGTGAGACCGTGGCACAGGTATATTTTGCAGATGAATGTTCGGAGAGATTAGGCCTGCAACTGAGTAATCTTCTGGTTGCACCCAGACTGCAGTCCCATATGGACCAAGCACCATGTCGGTGCATCGCAGGGCACCTCGACGTGGGGTGACAATTTCTGTAGTCATAGAAGGAGGAAAATTGTAGTGTGGGCCATCGACAGTAGTTTCATTCATTGGGCTCAAAGTCCAGAGTTGAATCTTGAATGTAGATGACCACGGGTCATTATTCTTCGTGCGTAAAAGAATTGACAGAGGCTGTCCCTTCATTCTTGTAGGGTCTTCGGGCGAAGATGGTGGAACAGAGACGAAGATACCATCCACCCAGCCAAACGTGCTCTGGGCATAAGGATGATGGACACATGTGTTGGGATGTGGTACTAGTTTTGGCTCCGCGAACGCATGAACTGAACGAGCTCTAACAACAAGGATGGTTTTGTATGCAAAGACGATTTGAGTGCATTGGTTCTACATATCTCATAATGATGAAAACGAGGCTGACAACTGACAGGACGACGTACCCGCCAAAGGTCCGTTTCGACAGGACTTTGCAAAACCGCGTACTCCTTGGTTTTCCAGTCCCATATTATTGTCTCAGCTTCATCGTCTGCCAATGCCACTAAGGACCCACACATAGCGATTGGTTGGCGCAACGTGTCGAGTCGGGCAATACATTCAAACCCTGGCAGAGAGTCTGGCGCTGTAGATGTGATAGCTAATATCTCAACTACAACAGAGCTATAAATGTTTTAGTGAACTGTCGAGTGTGGTCAGTAAGACAATACAGACTCGTATCTGTGCAGTGACACTGCGAGAGCAGCTTCGGAATCTTCGGACGTGTTCACTGTTAGAGCAGAAAAGACAGCCTTTTCAGGGGACCAGGAAGTGACTCGTGTCAAACTACGGCGATCCCAGAGTATGATCATCGACCAGATACCCTGAGAGACTGTGATGAGCCATCTCCGATCATAGCCAGGAATGAAGTGGATGTCTTGAATAGGGCCTCCCCTGCTCGCTGTGAAGCCAGACGCGCGAAATGTAATTGAAGGAGCTTTCCAAGCTTTCCCCAGATGGTAGGCACGGCGTACTCTGTCCTCCAGATCGCGAACAGAGAAACTCGAGAGTGGTTTCTTAGAGAAGGGTATTCCCTGCTGCAATATCTGAGAAGAAGCAATATTCTGCCATACAATCTGCTGACTTGAGAAGACTAGCAGTCTACGACATGTCTAACATTGCGGGAAAGAGTGAGCAAAAACCTCGGTTGAGCCGGAATAAACTTACTTGTCTCAGGCTGAGAACATCTGGAACTGTGAGTACAGCAAAGACGCCAAGGAGAGTATCATCATCAAGAGAGTCGAGGGAAAGGCGCATGTTAGTGGTGACCTTTGCGATTGAACATACAATTGAGAGATCCTATTGCCTCGTGGTACACCTGTAGGTTCCTGTGAGTCCCAGCATCTGCTTATGATTTGATTTTGAGATCGTTAAAAGTCGCGTATCATTGATCATTCTCAAGGGGCAAAACATACATATGCACACATACTCATAATCAAAGCTATATACGTGCAAACAAGTTCTGCCATGGTATGCACTCTCAGAAGCGCTTATGGGCTAAGTACAAGTGTTATGTCTGCCAAGGAACCCACCCGACAACAACTATCCTCTCGTTTACATTACCAATCCCATGTTCCTGCATTCTTGCAAAAATTTCAGAATAAAGTTCAAGGCATAAGGGACGAAGATGAGGATGAGCCACAATACTATGATGATGGTTCGGGACGTCCACCAATACCTGTTCGTACTGCGATACCCGAACGACCCGATGATGATCCTGGAAGTGCAGACGAAGACGACATTGATGAAAGACCTCAAGTGGTTGTGCTGAAAGAAGGCAAACATCTTACAGAGAGGGAAGCAGAGAATGAGAGGCGGAAAGGTGCATATCAACCTACAGAACTTTTTGCTTTCTCTGACAATCGCTTAGAGAAAGGATTGCCACCACTCCCTGATCCCAACAAGAAAGTTGAAAACGATGCCAAAGATGACACGAAATCAGACGTGAATTCTTCGAGGAAGAAACAAAAAGAGGCTGCTGTCACCCTGTCGTTTTCCTCTTCAGGCACGAAGGCCCAACGATCCAACAAGCTCAAGCGAAAGGTTGTCGGAGATTCGGATGGCAGCGATGACGGCTTCAAGAAAGCATCGAAGAAAAAGCCGAAGAAAACACGGAAAGGACCGCTCTCATTCGGAGAAGATGTGTAGTTCAATTCTTGGGTGGAGTACTAGTAAGTTGTACTCTAATTTTTGCGGTGACAATTCTAAGATTTTTCACTGTATCAAGATTTGCCGCCAGGATGTTTTATTGCCTTCATCATAAGGCATGTTGATTCCCGAACTAGGTGTGTTCAAGCAACGACACGACACGATAGCTATCCATTGCCGGATGAACCCATTGCAGAAGCAGGACCACTGGCATTACTTATCTCACGCCGCGTCATAGAGTCATACGGACATGCTCTGAGTCAGAAGTTCAGCGACATGGAATTGAACTTGATGGGCATCGAGCCCCGATAGAGCATCAAAAATGTACAATGTACGATGTGAAGCCCGTACTTTCGGTCTCTCTTGGATGCCCACGACCGCATTATTACAGACGTCGGTGTCAAGGTTCTCGAAGGGTTTGTTCGTGTAGTATACATGCTTGCATAGTTACTATATGATTTCCAGTGGTCTCTCTTGAATAATCACGTGATCAAAACAAATCTCTTGAATCTGGTTTTGGTGCAGTAATTTAGTGTCTGACAAGAATTGGCCTCCACCGTGACTTGAGGTCGGTCTAGTCACTCCTTGCACCTTTATACAATCACTGGGGGTTCAAAACTTTTCCCTGCCTACTGTCCTTCATAACTTTTGGAAGCACTACCAGGAAGTCACCGAACGAAACCAACGACCGAAAGCAAATCAAAGGAACTACACGATGTACTCTACTTTCATTCGCCTCGCAGAGTCTGCGACCACGAAGAATTTGGACCTGCGCCAGGCGAGCGTTGCACTATACCCGCCAATTCCGTATGTCTGTCTGTGATGTTTTGGCGACGGCGAGTAACTCAATTCTTATTTTAGCCTATACCGCAGATTACTCAGGGCGCACAGGAGACTCCCAATTGAAATGCGTTCATTGGGTGATGACTATGTCAAAGCTGGTATGTATTCCACCAGTAGTGGCATATCATCAGCTTACGCCGTTGCTCTTAAAGAGTTTAGAAGGCATAGAGAGATTACCAATCCAGTACACATCATGGGATTCCTGACACAGTGGAAGATGTACTTGGATGAGCTACCTCAAGATCCCTCGGACTCGAGAAGTTTCAAAAAACTAGATCCCACAGTATACGAAAAGGTTTTTATGATTCTGCTCATCTATGGACTTCGTTTCCTGGTATTAACATGTATTCAGATGTCTGCAGAACAACTTGGACAGTTGTACGAGTTCATGCACGCGACTAAAGAGATATGGAAACCAGTGAACGATGAACAGGACCAGACTGAGATTAAGAAATAACATACTCAGTGGCTGTTATCCATAACCTGTCCTTCGCGCGCATATACCCTTCCGCTTTGTTCCGTGAAGCCCCTGCGCCTTCCGACACGGCCGAACCTAGACCAAGGAATGAAATCGTCACCATGACCCGTTTACAATATACCCTTCCGCTTGGTTCCGTGAAGTTCTACACGTTCCGCCAAGGCTGCATTCGGAACCAAGACGTGACACCTTCAGTCATCCATGTCATGTCCTTCGTGTGCTTACTCTACTCCACTTAGTTCCGCGAAATCCTAGCCGTTCCGCCTTTGACACGACTCGGAGGTCTGAGAAATACAAATGGAGTAACTGGGAATTTTTATCTTGAGGTCTCCGAACCAATCCGGTCCGAGACGAGAAAATTCATCCATTTGCAATTGTACTGCCTCGTGCTTCCGTGAGTTCGCCATCAAGGGGGCCCCCAACTCCTTTCCCACCATCGTGGAGTCACGTGCACGCATAGATATAAATGAGATCCATATACAATCAATACTTGGTTCTCATCATTGATATTTCACCCTCAACTCACTCATCCATAATGTCGCAAGCTGCTGTCAGTATCTCTTTCTTGATTTTCATCGTGACAGCTTGACTGAGTAGCTAGGAAGACTGTTTCATCGAACAACCTGCCTTATGCAGACCTGCCCCCGATTGTGGCAGCACTCTTCGAGGCTAAAGCGAAGAAAGGTGAGGCATGGGTGCGGGCGCGATACCGAGTTATGGATTTTCTAACACGCTATATAGGATTATCCTTTGAAGCTATTTCTAAGGCAGTCGGAAGAGATGAGATCTGGGTAGCTGCAGCTTTCTATGGACAGGTTCGTCTGCACACTTAGATTGGGTCATGATTGTTGACGTATTCCCATAGGCCAAAATGACTCCTGAGGAGCTCACAGCTGTTGCAAATGTCCTGGACCTTCCAATTGCTAGCGTCCAAAGTGAGCTTGGATCCCATTGGTGGCCTAACCGTGGTGGCCTCGGACCTATGCCCCCCACCGATCCTGTACTCTATCGTCTATACGAGAGTGTCCTCGTGTATGGTCATGCCATCAAGGTTCGTCGTGTTTGATATCATCCATGACACGATCTCATAAAGCGATCAAAATCAGGCTGTTGTTCATGAGAAGGTGAGAAATTTGAAATTCGACTTGCCAATATGTTAACCTGGTTTCTGCAGTTTGGAGATGGTATCATGTCCATGATCGACTGCAAAGTTCACGTTGACAAGAAGCCGGACCCGAAGGGTGACCGTGTTGTTTTGACCTTCGAGTGAGTTGCCCTGTCCAATATTTCTGCTCAAGTCCTCATCTGATCATCTCCCGTTACAGTGGCAAGTTCCTGCCTTACGCAAAATGGTAGAACCTTCGTAATCGTCAATCTATTGTATTATAATTACAAAAAATACCAAGGAATCCTGATGCAATAGTTTCTGCCAGATATTTCGATTCAGACCAGGATATGATGAATAAGTCGCCTATGTGGTCGAATGCCACCTAACCATATCTACTACAAAGAACCATGATGTCCAGCTCATCTTCATCTTCTGAAAGCTCTTCTCGGACGCACAGCCTTTCTTCAACCTCCTTTTCGTCTTCTAGATCTAGTTCATCCTTCTTCTATCACGGTTCTGATGCTTCCAGCTTACACACGGAAGTTTCGAACAGCCCCCCAGGATCTCCAAATCTGCAAACATCATCCCAGAAGACTAAAGATTTTATTGCTGCCGCATCTGCAAAGCTGTCCAAAGCTCGCGAGCAGGTCTCGCACGCGCTCAGCGACGTCACTCCTAAGGATTCAATGTTCCGTTCTCCTATAAACCCCGCTATTGTCGAGGAGGATGTGGGATATGATTCAGATGGTGATATTCGCGGGTCGAATATCAAAGTTCCTTCAAGCCCCCAGAAGGCAAGACCCAAGTTCTTACGAGTGGACACAAAACAACGCAAACGAGCTGCTTCCATTCTCCACTCATTCAGTGTCACCACCAAAGCCGTCACTCCTAACTCAAATACTATCAACAAACGTTCGCTCGCTCGTCTTGATACTATTTCTAATACACGTGCTATTCCGGATTACGAGCTCACCACTATGACACAATCGAAGCCGCCTGCTGGACTTGGCCTAACTCTACCGTCAGTCTATCTTTCGAAGCCCATCCCTCGCGCCTGCACAATGCCAACCATGAAGTCCTCCTCTGGACACAACATGAAAGACTCACCTCTGCACCGCCCACTGCAGACTTCCAATCCGTGTGAGCCACCAAAGGTCTACCTTCGCCCCATAGAGCTTCCTGGTACACCATCCCCTATGGAGTGCCTGCCTCCCAGCGTCATCCCGTGTGAGGGTCTGAGTGGAGTGGCTAAGAAACCCTCATCTGTGCTTCGTTCGCCGACCGAACGATTGTCACCACTCTGGACGTTCCCTCCCCTCATGGGCTTCGCACCACCTGAAACAGTGCCTCAAAGTCCCCTGATACTTGGTGGGGGTGGAGGTGGAGGCTGGAACCCATACTTTCCTTCTATCTAGCACTAATCTGGATAGTTTATACAGTACCATCGAACAACCTGCACGTAAAGCTAGATGATAAAGTACATATACATGTCGATGATAACGACCTGTTCACGTATATGTAAATAAACAATATTTGCAGAATAGAGCGCATAACATGTCACTATATGATAGCGACAGGGAGACCCATCGCGATTCGGCTGATAGGCTGAACGATATCTGCATCAACGCCAAGTCCAACGTATGGCAGACCCGTCCCGTCACTCGCGAAGTCAGGCGGGTTAGTACCAGCAAGGAAGCTCTCAGCCTGCCTCTTGAGGTAGTCCGTATTTTGAGGGGTCTGCGGAACAGCTGGGATGTACATGACTGGACATCGACCGCTGGAATTTGAACATTCATACAGAGCTTATTGAATCAGACTCACGAGCAGAGTCATATGAACTGGTGCACTCCTGTTCGATAGAATGAACGGCATCCTGTACGGTCAATTAACAAGAATGATTAATAAAAGTGGGCGCATGACGCACACAATGCCAGAATATCATGTCACCAGGGTTAAATTTGGGAACAGAGGTCATTGTATCATCAAGCCTGAGATGAGGATGTAATTCTGGGGTGGGTTGTAGGCCGACCCAGCCGCCGTCACGAGGCTGAATGCCAGGAAAATCAGGAGTGGATATATCTAGAATTACCAATCAGGAGAATACTGGAAAGACCAAGGCGTTGTACACAGACCGAACACCCAGTTCTTCGGATCAAGTATGTCCTTGGAGTCGAGGGGGACAGTTGGTCGGAAGAATGGGCGGAGGATGATGTACGCATTTGACAAGGGCACATCGGGGAATACTTTCAAAGTGCTTTGGGTAGGAGCGGTCTGGCTGGAATCGATATCAGCCTTCGTATTCAAGCCCGATTAAAGAAAGCTCTGACGTCATAGCTAACCAACCCTGGAAGGTCCGGAACATAGTTGCCTACGAGAAACAAGGGTGAGTCGTGCATACAATAGCACTGTCACAACATACTTGTCCAGGTTTCCCGCACATAGATGCATGGACATTGAGACGGCCCTCAAGTTCATAGGGGTCGTGCTGGCGCCAATTACCACTTAATATGTCTGCGAAATACCTGCGGAAGTTGTCATCTTCCCAGCGCTCGATGGAACCACCTAAAATGCGCATCAAAACCCTTTGTTTTTTGCAAGAAAGGCGGGCATACCATCAACGTGAGGGGGGTCAAAATTCCATCGCACATCAGGGCGACGGATGCGGAACCTGATCTGCGTATACCAACGGAACGTCGAGATCAACGCCTTCCATTTTCTTGTCGGTCTTTGTACGGTACAGGTTATTAAGCCAAGCGGAAACTTCAAGAACGTTAGGGTGGGCGCGTGCTTGTACTTGTGATTGGGTCCAGCTGGCAAGTGGAATCAGTATCCATGAATACTAGGTGATCAGGAACTACTTCTGACTAAAGGAAGAGGAATTGCTTGTCTTGCTCTGGAAAACCTGCAAGGTTCAGTTGTGAGTGAAATGAAGAGCCATCGATTATGGACCAAAGGCCTACCTTCGACGTGAGGATTAGCTTCGATAAAATCGTCCAAAGCAGTCTTCCAGCTGGTAGCTTCACTCTCCTCAACAACACCATGAATGACAATACAGCCCTTGCGTCGGATATCATCGAGCTGCTCAGGGACCAGCGTGTCTAGATACTGAAAATGGACTTGAGGAATGTACTACGGAACGATTAGTGACTCATAACTGAGATATTGGAGATGACCCACATTAGAGCCCTCGTCGGTAATTTCTGTTGTGCGCTCGTCGAGTTCCTGGAGAAGATCATTCCAAGACTGAGTCAAGCACCTCTCATAGTCGGGAGTCGCTGCCACAATTTTGCGCTCGAGGTCAGCCAAGCGCTCGAGCCAATTTATCGTCGAAACCATCGCTGAAAGAATATCTTACAATTATAGACGTGAAGCCCCCAGGTCGCTCTTATAACCTGTTCGACAATATCATACGGGCTGTTTCCGATATCACCGGTGTTCAAAGGCGGTATGATGCTAATAATACCACACACTAACATCGAGCGCTGATCGAATACAAGATGATGGTTGTATGAGCAACGACGCTGTGAATCATCCATCACCCGTCGGTGAGATATTGCTGTGTATGATAAGTAGCGAAATGACAGGAAGTTGGACATGTACGTAGAACGTCGCACCCAGAACATTGTGACATCCTTAGCATGCTAGGATATCGCGGTTCTGATAATAACATCTGAAGGACGAGCACTCAAAAGTTTAGACGCTCACGATAACTGAAAACGTACCAAATCCGCCACTCGAAGCTCCGATGGATAGAGCTGCAGAAACAAGCATCAGGACTCATAAGCAGTCGTAATTCATAGAAACTATTCATGGAAAACAATCCGGTCCGAAAAGGATCTCTGTGCAGAGATATAAATAGGCTGCACAAGTGGATCTATGCTGAAAATATGTAGGATGACAACGAAAGGAAAGAAAACCCAAGTGGCGGTTTTCAGCCTATATTATTGCTCGCCCTCGATGTCAGCTTCTTCCTCTTCTACTGTAGCTTCCTGATACTGTGGATATAAAATCAGTCAATCTGTCTTATCGCAAGAAACAAGCAATATTACCTGTTGATACTCTGATCTGTATTTAGAAGGTACAACAGTCAGTTATGTACGATGGTATAGATGTATACGCACATCAGATCCTGAGTGTTGCTCTCCGCCTCTGTGAACTCCATCACATCCATGCCCTCCCCAGTGTACCAGTGCAAGAATGCGCGGCGCTTGAACATAAGAGCAAACTGGTCAAGGTTACGCTTGAAGAGTTCCTGCATACACGTTGAATTTGCAAGGGCTACCGCTGCCTGAGGTTGACCCACGGGGGGCACAGAGCAAAGCGAAACGGAAACGTTATCCGGGATCCACCTGAAATGTGTTAGTGAAGCCTCTACCAGACCAGGACTTTTGTGTACTCCACAAATAGATTCGAATTCTTGCGTTGCAGTTGCATAACAGAGTTCTGCACAAGCATTAGTAGTGCGATTTCATGACAATACTACACCGTACCTCTGCCTACGAAAAAGAATCAGATGTCACATTCACAAACATGTACGATGGACGTACCTCATGTGATGACACCTTGCCTCGGAAGATGCAAGCAGCAGTCAGGTATCGACTAGGATTCCGAATAATATTAGTCAGCCGTTTCTACTTGTGCGTCATAGGACATACCCAAATCGAGGATCCGAAGCAACCAGGAGATTCTTTTTGTCAAACAGCCTGTGGCACAATAAGTGAAGATCGAAGACCAATAGTTGTGTACTCACGATGAGGTGAGTTCTGATACAGAGAGTCTCTGGAAAGTTCGAGCTTTTGGATCGTAGAATGGAGCGAAACTCGGCATCAGAAAATGTAGCTAAAGTATGGAATCAGACAAAGTGGAGAAGTATTTCAAAAAAAAACTCACCCGAGGGAAGGGAACAAGGTTCATCCCAAGCTTTCGAAGGTCACTAAGAAAATTGTTGGAAGGACTAAACACCCATGGATCAGGGATTGCTTACCCGTTGAGCTGACCAGGAAACCTTAGACTCGTGCTGACACCACACATGACCTTGGCTATGAGCTACAATAGAAATTAAATGATAGAACACAATGTAAAGGTATTGAGGCTCACTTGGTTCAGATCTTTGTATCCAGGACTTTTGATTTTAAGAGTGCGGACGGCTATGTCATACCTGATTTCATCAGGAGGTGGCTTGGTAAACAGATCGCGAAATTCTCACAAGGCCTCGTTGTCGATACAAATAGTAAGATCGCAATTATCGACCAGTTGATGTATAGAAAGAAGAGAATTATATGGCTGATGCTGGTCAGCGACAAATCAGCCCGAAAATGAGAGTCATATCTTACTTCAACAACAGTCTCAGAGACCTGCAAGTCAACATCAGTTATTAGTCTCACCTGGGAGATGTCAACCACTGACATTGGGTGCAGGCAGAATCGAGAACGTAGAAAGCATTCGATCAGGATATTCCTATTCATAAATCAGTATACACGCAGGCCAGGTAGTGATACCAAGGCTGACCTCCCGCAGCTTGGACAGAAGCAAAGAACCCAGACCAGCGCCAGTACCACCTCCGAGTGAGTGGATCATCTGGAATCCTTGCAATGCCTCTGTAGCCTCGCACTGTCTTCGAACAATATCCAAGATGCCGTCAATCAATTCGGCCCCTGCGTTTCGGACTCATCAGGCCTGAGGAAGGGGATAATGGCGATATCTCCGCACCTTCGGTGTAATCTAAGCATCGTTACGGCATACCATCAGATCATGAAGTACAAAGCAATACGAGGCTTACATCCTTTCGCCCAGTTATTTCCAGCCCCTGAGTCGCTAGTGAAGTACGTATCTGGACGAAATAGCTGACCCAGCGGCCCCGAACGAAGCTACTAAAAATCAGAACGTCGTATAAAAACTGAATTCAATCAAACTGACGCGATTGCAGACCCCGGATTCGAGATCCACCTGAACACTTCGCGGAACGTACTTGGTAGGTCCGCTAGAGTCCACTTGTGTAAAGTATACGCCTGCCTGTGAGCAACAGAGATCAGAGATAGGCGACGAGCAATTTAATGATGACGAACTCGTGCAATCTGTTGAGGATCATTGCCTTTGTACATCTAGGTGTATGACGTCGCCATGTCAGCTGACATCGAGCCTACGTGGACTGAGTCCTGAACTTCAAAAGAGCGGCTCACCCCAGCATCGTCGAGGCCATGCTCCGCTAAGAGCATCCTCCAAAAGGCCTCTCCAACTTGGTTTCCTGCCTGTGAGGTTGTTTTTCATGAACAACCCTGATCCCAGGCTACGTGCATGCACGATGACTCACCTGCCCAGCCTATATCGATAGAATGAGAGGTCAGAACAACGGCGGAGCGATAATTATAAACTTACTTGAATGTTTACAATTTCCCGCGACATGATGGAAAGACGAAAAGAATCGATGACCAAGGTGGCCCTCGACCCAGGGCCACACTGAGTAATAAGGACCCGAAACGGGTGCTAATACTAGATGGTTCGAGGGGTCACGTTCGGGGATTGCCGAACGTACTTCCAATAATATAGAGCACCCCATGTGACCGTGTCCCATTTACGCGTCGCGCGTTCCGCCACCAACGTCCATTATGCGTTTCAGAGCTACCATAGAGAATGCCCCAATTTTCTATCGTCAGTAATTATGTGGATAGGTGCTTCGTCTTTTTAAATTTCCTTTAGGTCTTATACAAGCGGTGGAAAAATTACAGAAAACATGTATCATGAAGTTCACCGAAACCGAGATGCACGTCATTTGCAACGATGATGCGAACGAAGGTGGAATTCAAGTTTGGTCGTAAGCTGAATTCTGTGTCTTTATACTGTATGCATCTTATATTCACGGATAGCGTCGTGAAGGTCGACACCATGTTCACATCATACCGAATTCAATCCAATGCAGATAATGCAATAACCTTGACACTGTCTACAGAAGCACTGTTATCAGCTCTTCGATCGTCTTCTTCATCAGCATCGTCGTCCTCTGTAGCGGCTGCTATCCTTCCTTCGTACGACGCTGATGAAGTCGTCATGAAGCTTGCTAAGAAAAACGAGCAGGCCGTGTTGAGCTTCGAGATGTACGGGATATCTAGGACAGGACGCAAAGTCCGGGTTGCGCACGACGTACGTATAGACGTGATACGACCAGCTGAAAGCGATAAACTCCACGAACCACGGTGCCCAGACCCAGAGGTAGGTGATCGTTTCATTATGCTTACCGTGAAAGCTAATACACATCAGGTTCATGTCTTACTCCCCCCTCTACTAAAAATTCGTACCATAGTGGAGAGGCTACGTCCGCTCTCAGACGTTCTTGCACTGCGCGCGAACAACAGTGGTATCCTTCAATTATGTATCAATACCGACACCGTAAAACTCGAGACACAGTGGGTCAAATGCGGTAATCCATCAATGGGTAAGTAACGCAGTCTGCTCTGCTAATGACATCTTTTATAACTACCCCTCAGCCAACGACATAGCCCAGAACGATGAAAACGATGATGCAGAAGACATCTCACTAAATAAGCCCGATCCTGACAAAATGTTTTGCGTGCTTGTCTCCATCCGGAGCTTCCTCAAGTTTTTGAACAGTCATGTTGTATCCGCCACCACCATCTTGTGTACGTATTCCCATTTAGGCGTTCCGTCTCACTAATCTTTTCGTTCATACAGGTTTATGTCACAATCACTGTGCTATCTTGTACGTCTACATCGGCGAGATAGCTGACGCAGGAGGCGTCCTCACGTACTATATTCCAACCGTCATCGATGGCGACGAGTAATTTTAAAAGATAATTCCTTCCTTCCATCATGGTGAGCGTGTCAGCAAATGTCTGCATTGATAACCTCAAATGTTATACTTGTAGCTTACCAGATGATAACGTGTTTTAGGGGGGTAAATCTCTGTCCACTTTAACTCACTTAATATAACTACCTTACCACCAGCTCCGACGATTTTCCGGAACAATAATATATTTCAGGCGAGGGCAAAGGCTACAGAGAGAATATCAAAATCAGATGAAGAAACTAACACAATGGCACGTAGCATGTAATCTGAATAATACAGAACATTACGTTTCCAAGAGTAGGCAAGAGGTGGTTTTGTATTGTATTTCTTGTCCTCGCAATACCAGCACAATACAATCCTACACTTAATTCCACGCTTCCGAGCACACCTTGTCCGGACGCCTGCTGTTCCGGCCCTTGCAATCTATCTTCCCACAATCCTGACATGCATTCATACAAAAAGTGCGTCCACCTTTGCCCTTGCAGTCCTGCGAACCGCACTTGCAGCAGTGTCGAGTTCGCTTCTGCGAGGGCTCTAGGATCGCAACTTCATTGGTCTCTCCATAACCATACGCACGTTTAAGTCCATTTTGCTCACTTGGTGTATGCGACTGAGAAACTGGTGGGGGTGGAGCACTTTGACTTTGGGGGTGCTGGGGGTAATATGAGTACCCGGGATAGGCATACGATACATACGGGCCTGGCTGTCCGAAAGCAAATTGTTGTACCTGCGGCGGAGCTTGTGCCTGTGCCTGAGGTTGAGGTTGCGGCTGCGGTTGTACAGACGTGGACACTGATGCAGTAGGATGGTCAGGTGTAACACTACCAAGAGTAGACGATGAGGGTTGAGGCATAGTGGGGTGGATCTGGGTTGATGGGCCAGGTTCTGGAGCACTAGAGTCTGCCTTCCATGCATCGCTAAATTCGCCTATAGCGTCCTGCTTGCGCCATTAGCAGATAAGAGGTAGAAGGCAGGTAGGTGCATACTTGGTTATTGTTGTCGATTTCTCGACGAAATATATCAGCACCAACACTACCATCGTCGACATCATATTCCTGATCTTGGTCCCTCTTCTCGTCAGCAGGTGGGTTTTGGACAGCGTTGATGATATTAAGAATGTTTTCCTTCGACATCCCAACTTTTAGACAGGCTTTCACCATGTTCCAAAGCGTTTTGGAGACACCGACAGCATGCCAATTCCAAACATTGCTTCCAGGGCCCAGATCGGCGTCACCCTGTAACAATCGCGCTGGAAACTCTTCTCTTAACCTCACGGGAAGTCCCTGCATGACAGATGCGTCCGTGCTGGCGAATTTGCGTCCTTCAGGAGTCGTGCTAGCGATACACGATACACTTTTACATGCGTACTCGCATCCGATGATGAAGAAGGGTTTGTCAAGGTCATAAACTTTTACTGGGCCACTTCGGATGCGACCTCGGTTTTGGAGAGTACTCCCGCACACGGTACAATGGATACCAGCAAGAACGAGAGGTAACGGATCCCAATACAAGAAGCGATGCTCGGAGTGCGTGACTCGGGCAGTCGTCCGAGGCGCAATCAATGATAGATAAGATGGCGATGAAGGAAGCCACAATGTCCTAAGGACCGAATAAAGAGAAGGAATGGGATGCGCATCTTTGTTCTGGTTTTGAGATGGCATGAGTGAAGCGAGATGGGACCTGAAAGCTTCTTCAACAGTAGGTCCGCCGCTGGCGATGGGATTAGGTGCGGCAATAGCTCCCAAAAGGGCCTGCATGAGCACATTGGGCTTTGTACATGAAAGTTCCGCCCATTCATCACGACCAAGGTTAGGGTCGATGGAAGGATGCTGAGCGTTGGGGACTGTATTGCCATTCGTAATGGGAGGCGTTGTTTGTGGGGCTTGAGGGGTGAATCCTTGCCATGGAGGTGGGATGCCGGGGTGCTGTGGATAATATGCCTATGGACAAACAATCAGTGCTTCGGAGACCTTGAACAAACTGGAACACGCACCCCAGGGAATGGTACACCAGGCGGAAGCTGTGGTGTATCCGCACTCAGCTTTACACTCGACCGTCGCTGCTGGTTTGCTTTCCGAGCGCCGACAGATCCGGCAGGTAAACCATCTTTACGAGGGCGGCCTACCGGACGCTTAATCTTTTCGCTAATGATGGCGGGATCAGGAGGTTGTTTCTTCCCACTTCCTTTGGGCCGTCCAGGTTTGCGCTTCGGGGGAGGCTCATTAGGGTCTACAGCTGCATGTCAAGGGGTTAGCAAAGAATAAAATAAGGAAATGATAAAAATTGTACCCTGCACAATGGCAGAAGCTGATTCCACTGGCATGTTCGCTATGGTGTTCTCCATGGAGAATTTCTGGAGATATGTGAGCACCGTCGAGACATGAAGGAAGCATAAATTGAAGATAAAAGGTTGCAAAGAGGATGCCCCTGGAACAAAGGCCGAATATACGACATGCCAGAAAGTAGTTATCCAAGATAAAACAGTAATCTCGACAAGGAGATCGTCAATTGAGTGGCTCAAAAATGTAGTTAAAAATGAGAAAAACGTAAGAAAATAGAGAATAAATCTTTTACAATAGAGTATGAATCTTTGATGATAAAAGACGTAGAGCTCACCACTGATGAATGGTAGTCTTTCTAGCTAGTTAATGGTGAGTTTCTTGCTAGCAGTTGCTAACAGCTTATCCCCTGAGACGCTCGGCTGTGGTCGTGAGAAAGCGGTTAGGCGACAAATGCTTTTCCCTTTTATTAGATCGGAGCTTGAATTGAAACCTTAAGTGCCTTTCAACTTTTTACTGCTCCTAAATAAACGCTATCGATTATGAAGGTGAGTGAACAAAGATTTCATCGTTCAGAATCGTCTCTTTCACATTATACGATGATCTGTAACCGAATGCAATTAGGAAGTGCCGTCTCAATGTCATCTCTTGATGATTAGTGTCGAAACTCGGTTCTCTGACTTATCATTTAACTCGGCGTTCATTTGAAAATTTACTGATCTTTTTCTCCAGGTGCTTAACACGATCAACAATTCATTGTAGGCACCGTTCTATAAGATAACAGCACAAATTGCAATTGGATTACAGTAATAATATGTGTTTTTGGAAAGCCGTTTCATTTTCTAGCTGGACAACAGGTTGATTTTCATAATTATCGCTGTACAGTCGGAACGCCACGATCAGCACCAAATTCAAGAGCTAAGGTTTCTGTAAGAGATTTCTTCGGGCAGACCACTCGCAGCTTACCCAAAGAGTATGAACCGGCTCATCGGATGGGTTAAGTACCCATTTTCAAACTAAGCTGAAAGAGACGTCATTATGACCCGAGTTGATCAAGCCAACATCCAGACTCCTGGCTGCAGCGCAGGCCCACGTCTGAGGAGAGTGCCTCTGTCATGAATGAATGCGTGTGGCAAGGAGATCACAAGCATCTCACACTGGCTCTATCGTGTGCCTGAGCAAAGCAAAAGAAGCAAGATTATCGTGAAACCCCAGATGGGTGATAATGCGTCAGATCATCGAGAAAACCTGGCAAACTTCATCATCCATCTGAGCGGGATATCATATGGGACGCGATGTAAAAGTTCTGTGAACTAGAAAAAAAGGACGCGTGGTGAGCTAAGATGGCTGATAGCTCCATGAATTTCACAATCATCAAATCCATTCAAAATCTATCGTCTATCTGAGCACAAAAAAGGAGAGGTGACCGAGACCAGTAGAAGCTCAGATGGCTGATGACACAGCAGCTCTGGTCGGCAGGACACAGCTACAGTGAGATCTGTCATTTGGACTGGACTCGGAAAAAACGGGAGAAATCGCGTATGCGAAAACGAATTAATTGTGAGAGTAATGACGGATGGGATGGGACGAGCTAGAGAGATAAATGACAATAATTCGTGATGCCAGTGAGAGCCTGGCAGATGCCAGCATATCCTACATAAGAAAATTCAAAGAAAATGCTTACCTTGTGTTGACAGTCCAGATAAAGCGTGGCAGCGAAGACGACACCATGAGAAGGGAATGATTCTGTGCAAATGGGCACGGAGTGGGTCGGAGTCCGGTTATCAAATATTAATGAGATGGGCAGCGTTGCCGTCGAAGTTGCAAAAAAGATGCTCTAAAAGGCTCTAAATCGAGTCCCATAATGAACTTGAAGGTACAAAAATTGCGATAGAGCTGTGCCAACGTGCTCGATCGCTAACGGAACATAGACTATGCGATCTTTCCATGTGGATTTGAATATGATGCAGACTGGGTCGGAGCCAAGAGAGGATTGTTCATTTGGATGAATGGTGTTATGAACTCGATGTAGTAAGACCGGGTACCGGTTGTGGAATGTTCTGGATATCGGAAGATGTCAACGTTCAATGATGATGCACCCGTAGAGAATAAATAGCTTGGTGAACGGAGAGTTGTTGTATTTACAGCGAAATTAGTCGGAGTATAAGAGTTTTGAACTAAACGGGTAAAACTGATTTGTAAATCAAAATTCAATCGAAACTGTTCAACAGGCTTTCGCGTCGCAACACATCAAGAGCCTTGTGAGGCGGGCATTAATATTCATCACCATCATGCCGATTTAGTGATACAAGCGCTGAACAGCAGTATATCTGGCACGAACACCAGATCGTTTGATACACCCCCAAGATTACCCACTCGCTGACACCTATCCCTTAAATATGACCGTAGTCTCAAATGATCCCATTTGGTGGCCGATCATCAGTTCGTGTATTTTTATCAGCTATTGGACAGGTTCGAATTCGTCATTTCATTTGGTGATGTCTCGATCTAACATTGACTCGGACTTGCGGTTTCGCAGTTGCCGCCGGCGTCGTGGTGATATATGATTGGGGTGAGTAGGATGGTGTTCGAAAACCGCTGATATTCTCATGATATTTTTATTTTCAGCACTAACACTCGGACAAGAGGTAGGTCAAAGTTATTCTCGGAGCAGTCAACTCGCTAATAATTGTGTTGTAGATCGAACTGATCTGGGTGAGTGACAGAGTCCCATATCAAAAGAATAGCAGGAGAATACAATGAACTTGCGACAGAAGCAACGCTGGTCCCTCATGACTGTGCTGTATATCACTGTTCGTATCTCGTGTTACACCATAGTGTGGTTGGCAAGTTGTGCTGACTCCA